ATAGCAATGCTAATCCGTGGTTTTTGTGTATTTAAAAAAAATAGGAATTTGCATAACAATCTTATCATCTACCATCTTGTTATTTAATTTCGCACGTATCTTGGAATGGTTTTCGATAGAATTATCATATCGAAAAAGATAATTTCAATAGTTAAACTGTTCGAAAATAAATTTAACCATATTTAATCCAAGATAATTTTTCATAACCAACGACATTTTTATACAAACAGTAAAACCAAATAAGGCAAAAACTCTTTGAATACAGCCAAATAATTCGCGTCTTGTACAATTTTCGTCAAAATCCTGTATTCGGATGATTGAATTTTGTGAAAGTAGCTCATTTTTGGCGCGTAAACCTTGGGGGATGACAGCTGGAGGGCACGTGGAACAACAGCTGCGGAAACACCCGCACGAGCAAGCTGTGCCCAGCACCTGCCGCCAACACAAATGTATTTTTTTTTAATATTCAAACCAAGACATTAGATGAACAGCTGTTCCATTGTAACGAAGATACCCGAGCTTAAATCAAGGTAAAAAATTACGTGATTGTTTTGCTTTGAACCGTAAACAATTTTTTAGTAAAAAACCATTTGTGTTGTGACTTTAAGGCTTTAAAAGTTAGCTATTAAAACTGCGATTTCTTATATTCTTTCATTTGAATATCTTATTTATGAAATTCTCGTGTCACAATTTTCGTTCCTATACTCCTCCGAAACGACTTGACCGATTCTCATGAAATTTTGTGAGCGTATTGAGTAGGTCTGAGAATCGGCCAACATCTATTTTTAATCCCACGCGGCCGAAGTCGCGGGCGACAGCTAGTTATTTATACATATTTTAATTCATGGACCCAAAGATTGAGTTCATTAATCGTTTGTGAAATTGTTTTTTGTTTAAATCATTGACCGCAATTGTCTATATCTCTTTTTGTTCGAATGAATGTAGAATTTTAGGAAAATTTACGATTAAACTATCTTATCTATCCCTTTTATCTATATGTGGGTAGACAAAAACATATTGACCTGAGCCACTAAAGGGCAAGATTAATACAAAATACTGATAACTGACGAGGATACTATGGTTATTATTTATATAGTTATAATGTCAGATTACATTTAAGACCGTTCAAAATAGAAATGAGCACCTTATTATTGCACGTGTACAATATTGATAAGTGTTTAAAAATTTCATAAGATAATGCGATGTCTACGATATGGGTTGATATGTTTATCATTGACGAATACACTTTTATTTAAAAAAAAAAAACAATTTTTCTATGTAAATAAATAAAAGGTTATTTCTAGTTGCATGAATAATCCACCTAATGCACGCTTGTTACATTTTACGTAATGATTTATCACAAACTACATCGTAGGATGAACGCCGTTTGCGATGCATCGCCAGTGTCGTTTGATTGTGTTTGTGCGCGCACTCCACCATTCAGGTAATTTACCTGTGACTTTGCGCCTCGTAGATTAAAAAAAAATCAACATCATTTAAACGTCAAATCAGTGTCAATTGTGTTTATGTTTATTTAATGTAAATCTTTAGTTATAAAATGTGGATTATTTATTTTTTGGTTTTCAGAAACAAAATGAAAAATGTGAAAACAAAAAAAGAATTTTAATATCTTTTGTTATTGAATATCGTATTATTTACCATGGATGATGAATCAACATCAGAAGAGTCAAGTCAAGGCAATGAACAGGCCATCGCAGGACCATCTAAAGGTAAGATACAATAATATTTACAAACTTTTTTTTCGCTCATTTTTATTTATTAAAAAAAGAGGTTTATTTCTCGGTATTTATAGAAGAATGTCAATTGTAAAACTATTTTCGGAAGTTTATAAAAAATTGTATATATAAATAAATTGTTCTAATTATTTCCAAATTATTAAAAACATCAAGCGTAATGAAATCAGTTTAGTATATATCATTTATAATAACTAAGCTAAGTTATATTTTATAAGCACTTAGGTATGGATTAAATTAGTAGGTATCTATAAGTTTTTTTAAGCTGCGTATCTACTTATTTGTTCTGTGCTATAATAGCACTTTTGCAGAAGAACCTAAAGCACATTATACATTGAAGTTAAGCCTTTAAGCTTGAATTGATGAAGCATGCTGCTAAAAGCTGAGTTAATTTATTACATCACTTAAAAGTGTATTATTAAGTACATTTTATAAACTTGTCATTCTAGATTTAAAAAATTATTTAAATCTTAATCCTTAAAAGGTACGATGTTTTTGACGTGTTCAAACGAACATACATCAATTTAGAATGTTAATAATAAGTGTTCAAAAACATCTGTGTATTTAATTAATTACATAATTTAATTATAACACAAATATGGATTGTTTGTGTCGAAGTTCGGGTTGTTCTGTCGGCCGACCAGTCTGCCAACAGCAACACACTCGCACAGCACGGTCGCGCATCGAATGGAAGGCGCGAACGCGAACAGTTTCTGAACGTCAGCGCATGACGCATGTCTTATCGGTGACCACGGAGCGCCACCGTCTCGTTCCCTTCGACAGTTGCGAGTTTCGCGCTCATGGAAGAAGAGTTGTGTGTTTGATTATCGGTTGTAGTAATAATAGTGAAAGTGAGCACATTATAACTGTTATATTTAAGCAATTTATGTGGTTATAATTTTGACTTTGTGTATATAAACAAGGATTGCAAATGGACACGATAAGAGGTAAAGGTTTTTTTCTTACATAACTTCTCCAATTTACCAACATATGTTAGTAAATCGGAACGCAGCCTACGTCATTTTATCATTTTTAAACTTATTGACGTACTCATATAAGAAGTCAATGTTTTAGTATTTTTCTCTGCTAGGAGTACAAATTCAATACTAAATCAAATCGTTTAAAATTATTGTGAATTATGTTTTTGCAATATGGATAATATCGTGGCTATTCAAATACAACAGTAAATAATTAATGTATCTCATTCAAAAATAAATCGACTAATATTTGTGCACGTTCGAGCTTCTACACTTATTTAAAGTATGTATTTAATATCTTTTTAGCATGTATATAGTATTAATAACCGTTGAATTTACCACAATTTTAGTCACCAGGGTAAACCACTATGTAGAAATTTCTATGCTTGTAGGTAGAATAAGGAAAATTATTCACAATATTTTAATACAACGATAAAGCAAATTTATATTCAATTTTAAACCGAATACAATGTAGTTTTTAAGAGAATAAATAGTAAACAAAATTATGCTTAGGTTAGAAACAATGACATTTTATTATTTCTAACCTAAGAACTGTTGCCAATTTTATCCTTAGTTCATAAAAATGCACATAGTTAGCATTATTATCCACTCAATCAAACATATAGATATTATTTAAAAATTGTCTTATATTTAATTTCCATGAATTTGACATCATCAGCATAAAAATATATCAATGCGTTGATTGTAAAGTGAATTTCCATGAAAATACAGAGCCGATAGCCATATATCTTTTAATTACTTAAGATATGATATTGGAGTGGCTTTACAAAGAAAACTGTATGTTTCCAACAGTCATTGTATATAAGGAAAGACTTTTAAGGTATTGTCAGACACTGGCCTTGTGTTTAGTTTTACCCAATGGTGCCTCTTGAATTAGTGGCATGACCTCACAAATGTACCATGTGTAAGGTCATTTACTCTGGCCACATCCATAAATGTTTATAAAAAAACTAATGTATGTAACAAAAGCAATGGCTGAATTAAATCAAAATCCATTTAAATTTCAGTCTTTGTTCCTTAAATTGTTCTGAATTGAAATTGTTTTTAAATTTAGTAGTAAAGTAATCTAATCAATGATAATTTATATTATTTTAAGTAATTTTCCTCCCAGTATGTTACTACTATGAGACTGCTAGCGCCATCTCTTATGTAAACAATGTACTAATCATGAACAATGTTCGAAATGTACTTTGCTATAATCCTTTTTTTCCTATATTCAACGCATTATTACATTTTCATTGTTCTATAAATATATTTGTTCATGTAGTTACTAATTAAATAGTACTGTACTGAAAGAAATAAAGATACAATTGGATATTACATTCCTTTAGTGTTTGCTACTTTGTTGTGTAGATATAGGAAAACTTGCCCTGTGGAATGCTGTTATCCCGCGGGTATCGTGGGAGTATTATTTAGAACCGCGTTGTCGGCGCTAGCGGCATGTTAAATTAGCGGGCCCTTCCCATTCGCTACATTACACCAATCAAGACATTTAGTTTTTATACCATACAACCAAGGAAAGTTTGCATTCACCCATTGATATTCATTGCATTAAATAAAAAAATAACTTTTTATAATACAATTAAATCATTCATTATTTAAAGTTCAATTAATCAATTACAGTCAAACTATATTTCTGTTGACCCAATGGCGGGCGTTTCGGTGGCTATAAAATATGTACCCCATCTGGCGGATGTACATTTCCTCCGATACCGTTTCCGGGCGACTCGACTATGGGCCAGTTTATTTTTTCAAAGCGTTTATGAAGAAGGAAGTCGATGTTTGTATAGACAACGCACACGGCATAAAAGTCATTCATGATTTCCATTGAGAAAGTTACTTTGTGAAGGACGTAATATTCATAGCCTATATTCGTAATTTTTAAGATTATGTTAACCTAGTGTTTTATAGTAGTCTTGTAAATTAGAAAACTGGCACGCTAAATGTGTAATTAATTGAAAAATATATTATAGTGACAGCATGTCATACTTTAATAATAAATGATATGGCGTCATCTGGCAACCCTAGATATAATATGAGAATGTCTGAAGCTATAGAAGTGGAGTACACTGCGTTGCGTAGGCGATGCAGGCGAGACATAGGAATTCGAAAGCCGAGCGGCGACGGCGACGGCGACCACCCATAGGCATGAGAACACGGCCCCGGCCCCTTCCCCACGCTGCCCCGCCGCTGCTCCGCCTCACGCCGCATACCCCGCCGCTCTCAGCCACAATGCTGAATTTCATTTGCTCTTTGCGCCGACGTGGACCTTGGATGGTATCGCTTTTGTCTTTCTCTTATTGCACGCTTCACAATTTTTTATCTGAAACAAACGAAATCTGCTTCGCTTACGTGCATTTGGTTCCATTATCATAAATTATCTGATTATAATTATATTTTAATCAATTACTTTTAATACTTGTAATGTTTCTATGACTACCTTCATGGTAAAAGTTTTGACAGGGTCTAACATTGTACGGGCACACACGGTACTAAGTACCGTCCGCATTCCATTCCGTCACTTTTTTATTCGGTACTGTTTAGAGCCGGCCAGCAGTACCGCCACATTCCAAAGGCCCTTTTTTACGCTGTGTGGTCGCGGTTTCCGCTGGTAGCGGCAACGCCGCGCCTCAAATATGAATGAAATCCGGTCGGCGGCGGGCGGAGCGGCAACGTCGCTCCAGACGCCTGCCCGATTGAGAACTACATCTCTCCCGCATCGCTCCTTTGCGCACTTCGCTTGTTTATCGTATACCCTATACATGAATAGGTCTGTGCCTGTGAGCGCATCGCATACCGCGTCCATCATATTTTATTTATCATCTGTCAACCGCACGTGATGTCGCATAGCTATACGTCGGCGGTGGCGGCTCTGTTAAGATATGCCCAGAACGATAACACTTTAATGAAAAACACCAAAATATGTTTAAATCCATTTATTCATTATCGAAATTTGTCCTTTGAGTGGCCATGAAAACAACCGCTAGCCGACCCCACCCGGCCCCTCACAGCTGTGTCGTGCACCCCACAAATTGGAACCCTCCTAAATTTACGCATGCGCCGTAGGGATGTCATCGTAGTACGAAAACTGCTGTCCGTAGTACAGTAGTCAGCTATGCTCCGGTACAAACGAGCGACCATATTAAGTTTTAGAAGTTTTACTAATAATATTTTTAAATAACTGTTATTAACTCGGAGATGTGTGTTAGTGTTACGTAAAAAACAGCGGTTGCTACTCAATATGCCCATACTAGTAGACTGCACTCGAAGAAATGGTAAATATCGATCGTGTCTACGTGGCAGCCATTCCTGTTTGTTTTTCTCTTGTTTACACTTATTGATTTAATTTTTTTTTCCGAAAGAAACTATTTCATTTTACTTATTGTAATCTAAAATCTTAAATAAAAAAAAATCAGATAAATTTGTAATATTAATTAATCACTGCTGTGACGATTAGGTTAGATTAGTTCTCGAAGTGGCGTTTCTTTTATGATAAATGAAAATTAGTTCTTGAAACTGTTTGAAATTGGTGTACATGTTAAGTTATTAAAATAAAAAAAATTGATCGCTTTAGTTGAGTGCATGCGCACTGAGTGCACGCAGAGCGGGGTTGGGATGCGGAGGGCGGGGGACGGGAGCTGCGGGAATGGAATGTATGACGCAGTCGCGCCGGCCATGCTCGCCAACTGGTTGTTATGTGAAACTGTTTGAAAGCACACTTGTTCATCCCCATAATCCGTACACGCACACAATAGCTCGCCTTTATAACAGAAAGAAATTCTCCAAAATATCTACATAAGGCTTTATGTACATTGTAACAGAAAATGAAACTTTATAGTTATTTAAAAATATAATATCAAATTAAATCTCTTTATCTATAAAACAATCATCAAAGTTTAATTCTCCAAAATGTGGTTTCAGACTTACAATATATTTATTGATAAGCAATTGTTTCTGTTAAATTTATAATATTTTGTATTTCATTAGTAGCATTTCTACTCTTGGAACGTTTTTATAAAAATACATCCCACTCTAACACTTTGGACAAAAAGAGACAGAAATATGTCTTAATTCCTATTAGTTTTACAAGTACATGATTTCGTAATGTGTCGTGTGTTTTTGTAGAATCTTAATAATAAACATTGGTCCCGAATATTATAATCAGTGGTCTTATTTGAATATTTTAATTAATTTGAATCATTAATAAATGTACCAAGTATATTGTTTATATTTCATAGTTCCAAGAATATGATAATATTGCGACACTTCTCTGTATTCAGTAGAGTTATTGATAAGCTAATCTATATATAAGATGAACCGACTTTAAAAGATCCAGTCTCTATGTTGTTTTCACATGTGTTGGTTCTTAATAAATGTATGTTTCATATGTGTCTGTGTTCAATAATCATTAAACCTTTTTTCGTAAATACCAAAATTTATATATTTGTTTATTTTTTTTTAAATCAATGTAATCAATTATTTTATATTAAAACACCTATGTTCTTTATCGTCAAGAAGATACGTATTTTAATCGCAAAATTATGAGCTATGTTTAGTCTTTAGTATTAAAAGACGTATATATAGTGTATATATACTTGAAAAGTGCTATAAAAAAATAACGAAGGCATTCTCTTCTTTTCAGTGGCAGCCAACAATTCAACGTCACCACTTACCAGTCAAATGGTGACACAGCTGTTCCGAAGCGCACCGCGAGAAGCTAAACTGAGACCGCTCGTGGACCCCTTGGTGTTGCCCAGCCCCGGCTGCGACGTGAACAATGGCTCGGCCTCCTCTTCCCCCTCCGCCACCTCGCCCACCGGCTCCTCGGACAAAACCGACAACCACGACACCTTCGGCTTCTACTCCGAAGCCCCCGACATGCGTCGCGAAGAGGAGCGGCTTAAGACGTTCGACAAGTGGCCCGTGGACTTCCTGTCGCCCGAGCAGCTAGCACGCAACGGCTTCTACTACCTCGGCCGCGGCGACGAGGTCCGCTGCGCCTTCTGTAAAGTCGAAATCATGCGCTGGGTGGAGGGCGACGACCCCGCGAAGGACCACCAGCGCTGGGCCCCGCAATGCCCCTTCCTGAGGCGGCACGCCACCGCCGGCAACGTGCCGCTCGAGAGCCCCAGCGCCGCCGGTCGCGACGAGTGCGGCGTGCGCGCCCCGCCCAGCGCCACGCCCGTGCGTATGCCCGGCCCCGTGCACCCTCGCTACGCCTCCGAGGCGGCGCGCCTCCGCACCTTCAAAGACTGGCCGCGCTGCATGCGGCAGAAACCCGAGGAGCTGGCGGAGGCCGGCTTCTTCTACACCGGCCACGGGGACAAAACGAAATGCTTCTACTGCGACGGCGGCCTCAAGGACTGGGAGAACGACGACGTCCCGTGGGAGCAGCACGCGCGCTGGTTCGACCGCTGCGCTTACGTTCAGCTGGTGAAAGGCCGCGACTACGTACAAAAAGTGATGTCGGAGGCCTGCGCCATCTCGGCGCCGAAGGAACAGAAGGAATCGACCCTCGCGGCGTCGACCGACCCCGCAAAGAGTAAAAGTGATAAAGAGGAGAACGTTGTGGAGGACTCGAAGCTGTGCAAGATATGCTACGCGGAGGAGCGCAACGTGTGCTTCGTGCCGTGCGGGCACGTGGTGGCGTGCGCCAAGTGCGCGCTGTCGACGGACAAGTGCCCCATGTGCCGGCGGACGTTCACGAACGCGGTGCGGCTGTACTTCTCGTGAGGCGCGCCGCGCGCACGGTGCTAGTCAGCCGGCGGGCGGAGCGGCGGCGGCGGCGGCGGCGACAGCGGCGGCGGCAGCGGCGTGCTGGAACCACGCCCGCACACAAACAAACACACACGCACTGCTACTTCTGTGATTTAACATATGTCATAATATTTTAAAACGCAGTCAGTGAAACAAACTGCAGTTGGCCGCGAGTTTGACGAGCAGGAGTTCATTGTACATGTTGATATGATTTTAAATTATTTATTTGTTTAAAAGTATAATGACAAATGTAAATATTGTATTGTAAATAAATTAGCTTATCATTATGTCCCACCGACACAAATGATGGTGTACATTTTGAAGATGATTTATTGCAAGAAATAAATTGACATGTAATATATCTTGAAACTGTTTAATATCCATTTTATTTTTTAAATTTAACAAAGACAAGGGTTTATTTTGAAGCCGTATATTTTATAGAGTCGTTTAGTGAGCTAAAGGAATCAAACATACAAAATACATATTCCTAAACATGATGTTAATGTACCATGTTGTGGAATGGAAGTGTTTAAGAAGCACCTTAAAGTAAAGAAAATACTGAATTTGAAGCTCACATTTGCAATGAAATCTAAACAGACTTATTATTTCTTTTTTTTTAAGTTCTGTTTGTATTTTACAGCGCACACTCTATAAATCTTAATTTTACCTTCGCCCTGACCTGCTGAAAGTTCTTTATTCCATTTAAACTTTTCCTATTATTTCTTAAGTGTATAAATTTGTATATTATTATTTATAAGTATTTTGTTTCTTGCAATAAAATAAAATGTAAACATTTGTCACATATTGTAAATTAAAAAGTAACGTAATTAGTGTTTAAAAAATACAAAATGTGTAATAAAAAAGAAATATCAAAAAGTAATACCTATTCAAAATTTCAGTATGTTTACTGTTCCTGTATATATTTTGACAATAAAGGCAAATTATGTAAACCCAGAACTAGGTAGACATTTTGATAAGCAGAGTATTAATTAATAATATTATCAAGTGAATTGTTCTAGTTCTTTTTGGTATAATTTGAAATTCATTATTTTTTAACGAATCACTATGTTAAGCCAAAGTTTCAAAGTCTCGTGTGAATGAGTTGGTTCATTTTGCATTTAATTTATAACAAATATGTGATAACTAAATATTGTAAACATTACTAAATACAAATTTTTCTAATCTATAAAATCATGAAGCACGTCATATCATTTCTCAATAAGTTATATAATGTCTTTATGTATTACCTTTTTAATACAATATTTAAAAGTCATTTTAAGTAAAATGTTCTTTAAATTTTGTTATATATAATGAAGGTATTACATTTAGATAAATTGTAATATTTTAGACATAAAATTAATTATAGCTGTGCAAATTAATAATTAAGAGAATTCTATAAAAGTCACATTCAATTTGTTTTCATAATAGGTAATTATTATTTGATCCTGTTGATGTTTTAATAAACAAAATGTTAAATTAATCTTTGTTTTACTCATACATTAACTCACTATATGTCCCCACTGAGGGGCTCCGAAGCCTACCCTAAGTTAAGGCCTTACCACGCTGGCCAAGTGCGGGTTGACTTAACATATATCTTTGAATTTCTTCTCAGATATGTGCAGCATCACAATGTTTTCCTAAACCGTAAGAACGTCGGATAATTGTACATATGTAAATCCTAGATCGAAAAACACATTGGTACATAGCGGGATTCGAACGTAGGACTTGCATATTGCAAGTCAAGTGCTTGACTCGTGAGCCACCGACGCTCTTAATTCCCTTTTAAAGACAATATTATCAAAAGTTGGTTAGTTTTTTTTTTCAAAATAAACACTATAAAATCAAAGTTAAGTACAATACAATGGATGGTTTCCGAGACCAAAATCTGTACAAAACGTAACGTCATCCTCATTATATTTGACACAACAAAGAAATTAATGTTTAATATGGAAATTTGGGTCTCAAAGACTGAGCAGATGAGTTCAAAACTCATACTAATATTATAAATACGATTGTTTGGATGTATGGATGTTTGTTAGAAGGTCTCCAGGCAGGCTGCGTGGATCATCGTTAGTTACTATAAAACATAACCAACTAACCATGGGTTTCAGAGAGCAAAATCCCCGTTTAAAACATATTGTTATCTCTGTTTTGTCAAAGATAAACAGGGTCGACGATATGTTTTATACAGAAATTTTGGTGTCAGAAACCCACGGTAATTTTTTGTTTAAGCAGGTAGTGTTAAATGAATGACAGATGAATTTTGACAGTTTATTTTTGATAAAGAAGTGATCACGCAATAAGAGACTGCAAATATTTACTGTTGTGTTGCTGAAGCTCTTGTTTTAACTTGTCGATCTCCTTCACCATCTCCTCATCTGACGTCACACTCTCATGTATCCGCTTGCATTTACGTAAAAATTCCAATATTATTTCTTGTCCTTCTGATGTTTCTTGAGATTTCACAGACGCCTCGATCTCGAATAGATTAGTTTCCAGTTGAGATTGCTTCTCCTCAGCGTACTAAATAAACAACAATAAAAAATTTATAAAGACAAAAAAAAATATTTTACACTTCCTATGTCTTAACTTGTCTATTAATATTATAATTTTTTTTTATTTCTGGTACTTAAACATTGCTCTAGATCTAGATCTATAAAGTAGAATAATAGCGATTAGATCTATGTTTCTCATCCAGTGAGTTGTTGTGAAGCTATAAAAACATCTTGTTAATTTTTATTCTGCACAAGTAACCAGGATCATCATAATTTCCTGTCTCCTGCAGCTACAAGTTTACAAGAGGAGTAATTGACCTGTATAATGGAGTCAGGCAGATCAGCCAGCTTGGCGACGTGCAGTCCCAGTGAGTGTGGCGCGGCTCCGGGCTGGATGCGGTGCAGCAGCAGCAGCTGTCCGTCCACCACGGACGCCTGCGCGTGCGAGTTCACTATGACACCCGGGTGCAGCGCAGCCAGACGCGTCAGCTCGTGGTAATGAGTCGCGAATAGACAGAAACATTTACATTCTGTTGCCAATTTCCTGATGACATAAAAAAATACTGAATACAGTTCGCTTAAGAGTAAACCTGTTTTAAAATGTTACATGTCCCGATGTTTGTCAACTTGCAAATAGATTGCAAAAAATGCAATATTATGATAACATGATGCTGATCTGATGATGGTACTGGAAGTTGGCTATACGAACTTCCCAATGATACACAACTCATCGACTTTGGGCTCGTATTAATCGCCTTGGCCACTTTCTTGTTTTTATAATTATTTTTAGTTCTGTAATTATCAAGAAAATAGTAAATGCTTAAATTAAAAATGTTTTCTTCTTTTAAATACAATTGATGAAAATGTTTAAGATTAAATATATATATTTGTTGTTTATACGTACTCAGCGATGGCCCAGGCGATGCCGCAGCCCTCATACGTGGACGTGCCGCGCCCAAGCTCGTCGATCAGCACCAAACTGTCGGGAGTTGCCGCCTGCAACACATTACTAACGGACTTAGAATCCTTTACCTTAAACACTCGCTTAGTGTTGCTATCTCTTACTAAAGCAATAATTATCTCTCTTCTTCTTTTATGTCTATTTTTTTGACATAACCAACCACGATATAGCTTGGTTCGTCCAGCGGGGCTAGACAAAGTGCATTCGCTTCGAAGCGATTCGAAGCGAATGCACTTTGAATGCGAATGCGAAAAATTAATGGAACTGACGCGCAACAATCACGTGTCTTATCAAAAGGTTTTGTCAGTTTTTTGATATTTTTGAAGTTCGTTATGGAATCGCTTTCAAGCGAATAGAGCATTCGTCCAACACCGCAGATATACTCTTCTTACTATATTTCTAGTTATCTATCTCAATTAATTTAGGTGGTCAATAACTGTGTCATTACTCTAAGTATAGCAGCGGTGTCCAGCATCTCGAGCATGAAGGTGCTGTGCGCGTGCTGCTCCTTGTCAGCAGCGCCGAGTCGTGCCCGCAGAGCGCGCAGTCGCGGCAGTCGGGCGAGCGAGGCGGGCACCGGACACCCGACGTGCGCCAGTAACACCGCCGCGCCGCACGACCGCATCCATGTTGACTTGCCGCCCATGTTCGCACCAGTTATTATATGCATCACGCATTTACCTGCAAATATATGATTTTACTTAAACTAAAAAAAACGGCGTGGTGTTATTACGCGATTCGCTATCGTTTTGTAAATATTTAAATGAAAATAGGTTTTTGTAGCTAATAAATTACTAACACTAATTCTATTATGTAATCGCGGTTGTTGTGATTTTGATATATAAACCCACAAGGATATCTGCCCTGGTAGGTGTAAGCGTAACTAAAATAGCAAAGCGCACTAGCGCCCCTCTGACAACGTCAAAAAGTGTACTATATTTGACCTATCATATTTTTCTCTCGCCTATATTGATTTTACAAGATAGCAGCGCCTCTTTCACCTAATCAGATATTATTTGACTACATAGATATAATATGGTTGTCATCTGATTATTTAACACTAAAGCAACTACTTGAAGTAGTATCAGTTAATAAAATTAAAAAAAAAATAGTAGGACAATAGTAACCTCGTTTGAAGTGAACATCATTAGGTATATATGAGACGCCTTCTTGCACCTCAAGGCAAGGATGGCGCACATCACGGAGCAGCAGTTCTTCCATACTGTCGGTGAGTACAGGTCGGCAATACGGCAGCGGTGCAGAACACGCCGCCACCGCCAGCGACACCAGCACATCAACGCGGGATATCATATGCGATAGGTTGAATAAACATTCAGAATATCCAGCTACAAAATAATAAATAAATTAGTCGAATAATTAATGTTGTCGGAACAATAGTATGGTGGATTAGAACTCACAACCACGTAACGAAAATCCGTACTATTAGGCTACTATCACTTAAAATAATTATACTAAAATAAGCTTTTATTAGATTATTGATATTAATTGTTAATCAAATTCTTAAAAGATCTAGCACTATAAAGAGACAAAAAGTGCCTAAAATCTCTTTAATTTATTCAGCACAAGTTTAGGAATTTAAAAAAGTAGCCAAGTTCCTTTCAGATTATCCAGAACAGACAGAAATAAAAAAAAGGTATTTCGTTATAAGAAGCACAAATACATAGTGTTCGCGAATTATGAAAATTATTTTTTTAATATAACACACTCTTAATTTATTTAATACTAGCTGTCGCCCGCGACTCCGTCCGCGTGGAATAAAAAAAACTTCGTTAGTTCCCGGCAATTATTCGTATTTTTCTCACTTTTCAAACCGGTCTAGATCTCCACGAACATTTCAATACCAAGATAAGGTAAATCCGTTTAGCCGTTCTCGAGTTTTAGCGAAACTAACGAACAGCAATTGATTTTTATATATATAGAATAGATAGATTTAATTTAGTACTAACAGGCAATGTTAACAATTTCGGCAACAACTTTGTCCTGTTCCCTTTCATATGTGTCTTTAGTCTGCACGTATTCATCTGTGATGTTCTCCAAAGCGCTGTTCTTGAATCTCACTCCGCCTTTCACCGCATCGATTATTGTGAACTTCTTGCTGCCACGAATCGCGTGCTCTTCTTTATTTGTTATCCTGAAAATTTATTATTTTCCGTCTATTTACTGTGTAGTTATGAACTTTACAGCTGATTTCTTCCATAAAAAAAAAATAAACTTATCTAAACAATTTTACTTTTATTCATAGTTTAATTAAATCCAAACATATTATGTGATTCAACATATCCTTAATATAAACCCTGACCGTGGGTTACCGAATCCAAAATTTATGTTTAAAACTATTATGTTATCTCACTGTTGTTAAAGATAATGACAGAGATGACGATATCTTTTATACATATATTTTATTATGAGAAACTTACGGTGAAATGTTCCAAAATAACTCCAAAGACAAAAAATTATATTGTAAGCCAGTGACATGAATATGTACATAATTTCTCATTTTTTTTTATAACAGAAGGGGACAACGAGCAGCGGGAACACTGAGGTGTTCAACGACGCCCATGGACATCAGCAATACCAGAGAAACCATTCCCATTAAATACGACTATAAACTACAACTAATAATAAAGTACTACAATAGGGTACCTAAAATAAAATCCATTCTGCGGATTATTCTCCAGCTTGATAGTCTTGCCTGGTTCCAGGCCCAGGGTGTCTGCAGCAGCACGCAACTGTCTCTCCGCCGCCGTCTGCAACCTGTCCAGCTCGCCACGTAGACTCTGCAGCTGCTCGTCGAATGATGCCTTTACTAAGTATTCACCTGGAATCACACAAGGCATTGTTGATTTTAATGACCTGATGAGGTTTACATTATTTCAACTCGCACCATGCATTTCAGTATGTTTTTTTCCAGTTGTAATCCAGCTCTGGAATCGCTGTACTGGAATAATGTAAATTGGAAGGACGATTTGGCAGCACTGCCGTTAATATCGGTTAAAATTTTGTACTGAGGGAGCATCGGTGGCTCAGGCATTAAAAACTTGATTAGTAATATATAGATACTATTGGGTTTGTGTACATTGATCCGACGTTCTTAGAGTGAAGGAAAACATCGCGATGTCACCTGCACATATCTGCAAAGAAATTCAAATGTATGCGTGAACTCAGTCTGCACTAGTCCAGCGTGTTTAACTATGACCAACTCAACCCTAACTTAGGGTCAGTATCAGAGCCCTTCATCGGGACCTTAACGAGTTGATATTGAATTTTGTACCTCTATCTATAGCCTCCATATCGACTGTAGTTTCGATCATCTGCTGGAACTTCTCAATGTCACCGTGAAGTTCCGATATAGGTTCCGAGAGCGCCGCGTGCACGGTCGCATTGTCCGCCTGCGCTAGACATTGTAGTAAAGACGGCAGCCTCTCTATCGCCTAAAAATCAACATATAATCTAGTTATTATATGAATATATGCCTATATACTACATTCTGTAAATGAATACTAATCGGATGACACCTCATACACTCTAATAGCTACAACCATTTGAGATAAAGGTCACCTTTTTCCTATTCATACTGTACTTTGTCGATTCCATCTCCCTTTCTTACTATTTCCTCCATTGGATATGGAAAGAAGATTTAATTTGGCCACCAAAAACCGGTAATACTTTAACTTGACGATTGTCTCCTGTATCATTGTGGTATTGTACCGATTATTTCTGTTATTCTACCTATTCTTTAATTAGTAAACCCTCAATTAACTTGCCATCGTACAACTTAGGTCTCCCATAGACCCCTGTAGGTCTAGAATGTTTTGGGTATCACTTTCTAAGATAAAATGACCAGTATAAGATGAACCCTTTATTGCTTTTGTTTTCACCTGGTAGATCCTGTAGCAGTCGTGTAGACTGGCTTTCTTCCTGGTGAGGCGTCGTGCGAGGGCCTGCAGGTCTGGAGCGCGACGTAGCAGCTCGTGCAGCTGCAGCCTCACCTGCGACCTCTCCATCAACACCTGTACGATGTCCAGCCGCTCGTTGATCAGGTGGATGTCACGTAGCGGTTGACGGAGCCATTGTGCTAGCAAACTGAAAACAAAATATACCTATGATTGTAGCACAATGATGACACCTTGAATAAATTCCTCTCTATCTATAATAATCTAGGTTTTCTTAAATATAAGAAAAATGTAACAATCTACATTCTATATTGATCCGTAAAATAATGTTTTTTTTTTTGAAACTTCGATAGTTTGATCTAAGCCCAAGAGTGTTACTATCCTTAATAAAATAAAAAAATAAAAACGTTTATGTTTTAGCTAGTCTTTTAGATAATTTTAGCTTTATTACTTTTAGCTGTCAGGACCGCGCCATGGTCTCTGCCTACCCCTGTTTGTCAAGGGCGTGAGTTATTGTTAATATATTATGAAGCATTATATTAGGTATTTATTAAAAATGTAACCGTTTCCCGTGCTGAGTGCGACATCTGTCGAGCAGTCCGTAGAGACTGCGTGTGGGCGCGTGCGACGTGTCGCCCAGGTCAGGGAACACGTTGAGTGCGCTCAGTGCCGCCGCGTCCAGGTGCAGGAAACCATCACTTTGGATCGTGCTTAGATGGAACCTAAGGAAAGTTTCATAATTATTACATCGTACTGATATTATAAATGTTAAAGTTTGGATGGATTCATGGATGGATGGATGTTTGGTAGCACGTAACTCCAGAAATTACGCATAGCTAAGGGTCAATACACGAGTTGTATACACTTGTACTAAATAAAAAAGACGTGCAAATTAAATCATTTTTTTAACAAAAAAAACTGTTCTGCTCTCACCCAGTTAATTTAGTTTGTTTAATTACACGCGTTCCAAGACTTGGGTGTTAGTTATATTTTTAAACATAAACATACAATACAGTGTTCATAAATTGAACTGAAAAGAATTGTTCAGTGAATAATCCTAGCAAAAGAAAATTATTGAATAAAATATACATTGTTATATAATATTATTCTGATTACATAACGTTATGTAAAATAAAGTAATTAATTTATTATTGATAGTCTTCCGTGTTTTACGTAACATATCACGTTGAACTGCATGCTGTTATATTGCTCTGACAACTATATTATACTTATCTCTTACACTCTCTTTGAGAAAACTGAGACAGCAATATATTAAACTCGACTTCATTTTAACAGAATTCATTTGCATGCTTTATTACTACGACTTAAGATTATGTTCTACATGTATGGTAAATATCACCAAATTTAAGCCATTCTGGAGATACCTTCTTACCAATGGAATGGAAATGAGAAATTATAAAAATCCTGTCTAAACAAATTTTACATTTATAACTCTGTAATTACAGACTTATTAAAAACCAGACATGTTTGTATTATAAAATATACTAATATTTTTAAAAATAAATCCATAGACATTTTTTTTTTATATCAAAATATTAGCAGATTATTTTCTAAATTTACTAATATTTCTTTGACCATTCCAACTAAGCTCTATGCTTGTGCTAGGATATGGTTTACGACAATAGCCGAATGGCGGGATTCGAACCCCCGACCTCGTGATCGGAAATCCGTACCCTTAACCATTAGGCTATTGACCAATAAAATGTATGAATATCATTTCTTATTTCCATTGAAATCAACTTTGCAATATTTTAAGTACTACTTTACTTACATTAAAAAAATGACAATTGTTAATATCGAATTCTACAATATTGAGGAATATTCCAATCTTACTAATATTATAAATGCGAAAATTTACATGGATGGATGGATAATTGTTAGGAAGTACTAAAAGGACTTTATGAACGCTGTTGATGTAGAACATAGTCTGGAAGTACGATAATCTACTTATTAGATATTTTTAATTCTTTGCGGACGGAGTCGAGGGCGACAGCTAGTATTCCATAATGCAGACGCATAAATACAAAGGACGCATATAATTATGAATTGATTCGAGAAACAGCCAAAGATTAAGTTATCTAATGTTTACGAGTGAAATCCTAAGAAATGTGTAAGATAAGTCGACTTGTTATTTATAATTAGGGTCAACGTATCCGACGCGGTTGCACTAACCCCACATTACAATATTATTAATAATAATACGTGGAAATAAAAAGTGAATTTTCACTGTTATTTGATATTTGTTTTTGTTTTATTCTATATTAGATATAATCGTGTTATTCTCAATATTTTTTAGTATAAGCTTTTGCCCGCGACTTTGTCCGCGTGGAATTAAAAAAAAAACTTATTAGACTAAGTGTTCTTTGGGATTATGTTCTACATCTATGTTAAATTTCATCGAGATCTAATGTACCTTTTTGTATATACAGGCGTAGTAAAAAAATCCATACAAACTTTCGCTTTTTTTTCTTATATTATAAGGCGGCAAACGAGCGAGCGGCCACCTGAAATCGCTGAAATAGCGAAGTGACCGTTGCCCATAGACATACGCAATTGCATATGCGTTGCCTACCTTTAATGAACGGAGGAGAGGATGATCAGAAATAAAATATATTCCCTTTCCATGCATCCTCTCATCCGGAAAATCCACTTCCACTTCCCATGCTTTCCTTATAAGAAAAAAGGTGGGAAGTGCAAGAGGACTAAATGAGGCCTCCGGGACGCACACTCATCAGACTGTACGCGGAATTGCTTCCACTTGACGCGTGTCTTCTGTGTGGTCGTGGTATTTCACCGGGCGAGCCTGGACAATTCGTGCGAACATGTTAAAGCGGGCTCTACCACTGTTATAATATTATAATGAGTACATTTTATATTGATAATTCTTTACAAGTGCTTAAATAAAATAAAATATTATAAAGGTAGAATTTATCTTGAATGGAACCTTCCACAACTTTGCCCATAAATACATACATACAAATTTAACAATATTCATAAACATATATATTAACGCCCCCTAGTGACAAATCACTGAAGATTAGATTTACTTTTATAGTATAAGTTAAGTTTGCCTATGGAAGTAAGGGTATGGTCTATCCAGCAAAGGAGACACAAGCTGATGATGGAAAATTACCTTCCAAAGTTGGTGTTTTCATTCAGTAATGTGGTGTATCTGATGGCAGCAGCTAGACTGGACATGGCAATTTCCTTGCGCGTCTCCGGGAACGCGTTCGCATCCTGTGACTGACTGTCTTTGAACTTCAGCAAACGATTCAGATCCTGAACCAGCCCTTCCGTGGAGAAATCTGATCTCTTTAATTTTGTTACAGTCACATTTGCCCTTTGCATTACTTTTTTAAGGGCTTTTTGCTGAAATGAAATATAAATTGTATTAACAGAGACGAAAATCTTCGCGACGGACTTCGGACTTCTTAAAATATTTATTAGGTAAATACGTAATACTTCTAAGTAAGAATCATGTTATAAGGATAAATAACACCATAAACAACATTACGACCTTGAAATATATTAGTTTATACGATTGGTATATAAAACTAGCTGGCGGCTACAGCTCCGTCCGCGACAAACAAAAACATAATTAATACCCTATGTGTTCTTAAAGATTATCTTCTATATGTATGTAAAATTTCATAAAGATCCGTTCAGCTGTTCTGGAGATATATCGTACCAAACATCCATCCATCCATGCCTCTAAACATTATTAAGACTAATAAAAACAAAAATTAAAAGTCATGACGTTACCAATAAAATAGAAGCGCCTATAGCCTAATGGTTAAGGTACAGATTTCCGATCACGAGGTCAGGGGTTCTAATGCCGCCATTCGACTATTGTCGTAAACCATGTCCTAGCACAAGCGTAGAACTTAGTTGCAATATTTAAAATGCTGCTAATATTTAAAAAAATACAAATCCCGTGAAACCCAAAAACCATTTTTTATCTTAACCTGTATATAAATTTATCTTATATCTACTAGCTACTTACATCATCATTATCGCCTTGCACTACGAGACATTCAGCCGGCGCAGTCTGCACCGTGATTGTCTCCAGCTGCGTCAGCAAATCATCGTCTGTGAACTCCGAGATGGAGAACTGATAGTCTGCAGATGTCACGCAAGCCACTCCTAGAAGACGACCCTGGAGAATAAAGTACAAGACCTAGCAATAACGGTTTTAAATCTACTGGCGCCCTGTGTATTTTTAGCAGATTTTTATTAAAACACTACAAACCCCTCTCTTTTAATAAGCCTTCCCTCCCTCCAGGTTAACAGGGTTATAGTACTGTAATATTTGATGGAGATGAACACGACACTGACAGAGACAAATTGAAAAGTGCGATCATTTGAACATATACATGTTCATCATCATAACATCTGAACGTATCCATAATATCAAAGACAATAATATCAAAGGTTGCTGAAAAAGGTTTATAAATCAAAAAACCTATCGATTTATAAGTTAAGAGAGTTTTTCATCTCAGAAATCATAGAAAATGCTTGTCGGGTAACCAATAGGTGATGATATTCTACTATAGGCAAATAACATCTGTCGACTCAAGACTTTATAAGAGATAAAATCAACAGCAAAAGAACAAAAGAAAAAAAAACAAAGAAGAAAAACAGAAGAAGAAAAAAGAGCAAAAGAACAATGGAATCATTAATTAGTAATTAAACGATTCGCCATTTTAATTTATAGTTTCTGTAACCTTATTGTGCAGCAAATTATGTTTTAAGTATTGCATTTGTTGATTTAAATAATACTACATTTATTTTATATTAGTATGCTGTCCTCCAAGAAGTTATTATTAAAATTTGTATGAGATAAGGCGGAATTGGTCTCTGAGATTTACAAAGCATCACGGTCAAGTTTAGATAACGCAATATAAACTATTAATTTATCTTATTTTAATACTGAAACATATACATTGTTATCCTACTTTCAACTAGTAATGAAAAAACTTATTCATTTCAAGTAAAGAAAAAAAATCTCTTACGTTATGTCTCTTTAGTCACTTAAAAATGTTGCACTATAAAATGTTATAAGAAAGGATGGATTCGTTATATGAAAACCAAAATTAAAATAAATAAATATATCTTAAACTAGCTGTTTCCCGTGAGGAATTAAAAAAAAACATAATGCCTATGTGGTTTTCCAGACTATGTTCTACATGTATACCAAATTTCAGCAAGATCTATGCATCCGTTTTGGAGCTACCTTGTGAACATCGAAACATTCGCATTTATAATATTAGTAACCTTACCTTTGTTACGGCATCCGTTTTAAAATTAACCGCCATCAAGCATGGTGCGTTTTCATTGGCAGTTCCAAGACCGTCACCTAACACCTCCTCTAATTGCGACAGATTACCAGGCGAACCTTTATATTCTAATCGCCATTCATTATTCTTAGAAGAACCTTCACATACATATATTTCAACTCGGTATCGCTTCACCTAGAAATACACATAGAATACTGAAATAGCTAATAAAATATGGTGCAATAAAAAAAATGTTTTGTCAACGATACCAAAAGTACTCTGGTATTACCCATTTTGTTGTGGTACAGTCGCCGTCAGCTATATTGCAGCAGACAAGATGACCAAATTTTTGGTTAGGTGTGTATAGAAATTATAGACAAGCAAGCTCAGATAATATTGAAGTAATTAATGTACAGATATCAATAGTAGCTTGTAGTGTATGGAACTTATTGATATTTTAAATTATTCAGAAGTATTTGGTTACCGTATCTGCTACAATATATCTGACGGCGACTGTACAATCTGACAACATTCTATGTCTCAAATACCAAACCACTAATAACGCAATCAATGAGTATTTAGAGTATCCCAAGGCATCCAACATACCAGTAAAAGTTTTCTGATGAGTATTTCAAAGTTGCCCTTAGAGAGTACAAGGTAATCGAGTTTATCTGGTTCGAGGCCCATCTTCTTGATATTAGCAATGGAACAGAAGACCTCGCGAGCGGCTGTCGTAGCATCTGCACCGTGAACACTGTAGTATTCATTGCGGTCAAATATACGAACTGTTGTTGGTGGTTTCTGAAAAAAATATTTCAAGATTTTCAAAGAGCATTCTTGATATTAAGCCAGTTAGTATACTAGCCTTGTTGGGACAGAATAAGAAAGGGACAAAAGATTATAGAACAAAATATTATAATAATAACTCAATGTTACTCTTTTTTTTTAATATTAGCAGATTTTTTTTGTAAATTTACTTATATTTTTTTACCATTCCAACTAAGCTCTAGGCTTGTGCTAGGATATGGTTTACAATAGTTTAATGGCGGGATTGGAACCCCCGACTTCGTTATCGGAAATCCGTACCCTTAATGCTAATGACACTCTAAAATGATTACACTTTATTGTGTAACTTCAATGTTTAAGAGCTCATTTAAACATATTATATTAAGTTTCATTGTACATACTACATATTGATTTTATAGTAAAGAAATATATTTGTTAACTATAAGATATATTCTATTAGTAGAAAATGTTACTTAATAAATAATAATCATAATTATTAAATCATTTTATTGTATTAGCAATCATTTGCGCTAAACAATAAGTTTGTTATTCACAAACATAGTAAAATAAACAGATAACGTAGAGGAAAATGGTTTACACAATAAGAAACATGTATTGTTCTAATACGCATACAAAAATTGGTGTATTAATAATATACAATTGTTATTACAAATCGATGATAAATCTTGCACGACAATTTTCTTGCAGTGATAAAACTGGATTGGATTTGAGTACTACAGTGTTTTTTATATCATTAGAGGACAAAAAGTTGTAGAATCATTGTTATTGAGTGAACATTGGACCACCGAAAACATTAATATTAGAGGAACTATACTTTTGTTGTATAGAAAATAAGCGAGTTACAGGATGTTTCTTTTTTGACAGCATTGCATCACGCTTGCCTGCATCGCTTTACTACATCTAAAATTGTGTTCTGCGCAGCGACTCGTGAGAGATTCAGAGCTGCCAAGATATATGAAAACAATTGTACCACTGAATGGTAAACAATCTACCCGGTTTTAAAGATAATGGTGTTTTATAGGATTTTTTTTGGAGTTTACGTGTTTAAGCAATTGTTCAGTTTCTTGATGAAAACATTTGGATTTGGATTAATTTAAGACAACGAATAAATAAACAGTTTAACTTAATTTAACTAAATAAAGAGTTTAGCAATATCGCGGTACGTCACTTCAAACCAATTATTTCGTTAACTAAAATGCAAGACAATATTTTTCGCAGTGATATTTACACAGTGGTGGTTGTCGGTAGAAATAAACGCTTCAATATAAGACTGTGGTTGTAGGGGTAGTACAAATTAATGCCATTAAAAATATATCGTATTTTTTAAAATAAATTAAAACACAACAGCAGTGAAATATTACAACAATTTATTCCCTGTATATGAAAAGAGATTTGATGACAAAGATACGAGTTCTGCAGGTTTTTAAATGTAGATTATATGAGAGAAACATCAAGTTTAATCATCTTTCTCCTACGTATTTAGAAGCTAATGAAAGGAATCGACTATAGATTCGGAGGAAGGTGTAAAGAACTAAGATTCATCTAATTTCAGGTAATTTTTTTAGCTACTTATTTAGAATTGTTACTTTATTGTTTTTTTTTTATTAGAGAAGGTGGCAAACGAGCAACGAATCGCCTAAAATTATATGATCCGACGCCCATGGACATCCGCAACGCCAGAGGAACCGTACATGCGTTGACGGCGTTGTTTTATAACGCGTTAATAAGATATTAATTCACTTTTGTGCTGCATCAGAATACATAGATTTACTTGTATACGCCAGTAATATTTGTTTATTTCTAAAGAAAAACAGCAATTTTTTTTACAAAGTATTTAATGAACATAGCCAATGACAGGTCCTCAAGAACAGTTCATGAATACTAGTAGTTAACATTGCTGTTCGTATTCCATACACCAACTAACCAGATGTGACATTATTTGAGTCTACCTCCTTAAATAGGCTATAGATCTCACAAAACACCAAAAAAAAAATTATCAAAATTCTATTTACGACTTTATGGTTTGTAATTCAATTGTGGTTGTTGTTGAGAGTTAGTCAACTTCATGTCTCGTTTACGATTGTGAAATTATCTGTTTGGCTGTTGTAATGACATTGTCATATTAACTGCTTGGAGTCTTGTAAATTCGCGGTTTGCTTATCCTCTTTATCCTTTATAATGTCTGGGAAGACAAGTTATTATATTAACTAATTGATAAGGTTTTTATATTTTTCCTCTGCCCTTGTATCTTTGTCCTACTTATAAATGTAAGCAATATTAAAATGGGTCTGTTTATCTTCACGATACATTAGCGATTTATTATAAAAATAAGCGACAATAAAACTTCGAGAATCAACAATAATTAATATAATGACAGTTATCATTGCTTTGTTACGGTTATTCTTTAGAATTTTCAAAGTTTTCAAACACTTTTGAAATTTATCATTGCATAAATAAATAAAATAAATCGAATTGAACAAAAAACGTAGACCAAAAAGAATTATATTTTGTATAAAAAGAAACTATAAGTTAATGATGAAACGCAAAGTTGGAAACCTTCATAAAAACTGAAAACCATACTGTTTTCCGCGGTCCGTTAATAATTTTTATAATCGAGACGTTTGTCTCTTGTTATCTTAAAATAAGAAGAAATCTCGTCGACTTATCCGATGTTTAGTAACAAACAAAATACGTCTTTATTGATATTTTCACAGCTTTTTTGTATACATGACTAATAACAATACAACTGTGAAAAAAAATGATTAAAGAACGTAGAAGTGAGATACCGTCATTTTATCCAAAACAAAGTAATTTACGATTTGTGTATGAAGTCTTGCTAAAGTATTATAATTTTTATGAACTTAATCGTGCTGAGGACATCGGCTTCTTAGTCCAGTCTAATAAAATTAAGTTTACCATTCTTTGTGCGGGACTCTATTTAGGGTTCCTTATATAAAAATCATCGTCTTCCAACTTCCTATTGTGATTTTCTTATATCTTAATTGAAGGAGGAGAATGCATAGAAAGATAATATTTTCCCTTCGTATGCATCACTACATCCGGGAATTCCACTTCCACTTCCTATCCTTCCTTATAAGAAAAAGGATTGGAAGGGAAAGATGACTAAAAATAAGCCTCGGGCCTCGGGGACGGCACACTCATCAGACAAAACGCGGAATTGCTTCCACTTGAAGCCTGCCTTCCGTGTGGTCATGGTATTGCCCCGGGCGAACCGGCCAATTCGTACGATTATGTTAAAGCGGGCTCTACCACTGTTACTTGTGATTGTTTTATTTTAAATCAATCTCTCTCAACGAATCGTTTAATGGTTCTTTAAGAAGAACTCTGAGTGTAATTTTTTTAAATGAAATAATTGTTGCTCACATACTTTTTCAGGTAAAACAGAAGATGTTTAAATTAATGATATTGAAGTTGTTGTAATTAAGTAACATCGCCTGATTGAGTGCATGATGTCATGCGATCTATGACAAACAAGATGGAATATTAAATTTTGCAAGGATTCCTAGTGATTCATGTATTAATCAGCAACAAATATAGAGGTGTCTCTTGTCAAGGATTGAGGAGGTATGTGACGTGTTATATTTTGCATGGCCGCTTCTGAGAACGCGGAGCAATCGCGACCGGCCAGGAGGTTATCTTAGGTCTTAGCTGAGATATAGAATTAAAACAATAAATTGGCGTCTCCTGTTCGGTCAAAGTCAGTATAGTGCGACAACTGTGCGGTATTCGACTAGTAAATCCATGAATAATTAGGAAGACACAAAAATCGTAAGTTATTTTTTTATAAAGTTTTTATTTTTATAACTTTTTATATTACGTGGATATACGTTTAATATTTTATTTTGTTTAAATTTATTTTGAAAAATAATATATAAAATATTACGTAATATAACTTTAAGAAAATTACCACGTAGCTTTCGCTTTCTCGAATAATCACAGATAATTTGTGATTTTATATTGCGACTAATGAATAGATAAAAATTGTACAGTTTATTTAAAATAGATTAGATTTACTCCTGTAGAAACAATTCAGGTTTTAAAAAATATATAAAAAAATAACATTGCTGGACCTATACTAATCTTTACTAATATTATTGTCATTTTTAAAGATAAAATCTTGAAACTTATTTTTAGGCTTTTAATTCGATATATATAATTCATAATGCAATATAACGGAATAGGGAATGAAAGTTTATATTACAATATGTAAGGTTTATGTGAATGTTTTGTAAGTTTAATAATTAAAATACTACCCAAAGACAGTACTTTACGCGAACAAAGTCGCAGGCACAATTAGTCTAATATAGCAAATACCTTCAATTTTTTTTCTCTGAAGTAAAGGTTTTTATTTTTAAATAATTATTATTCAGAAACCTTTGTTCGTACCTCTATATTTATTAATATAATAATATAAACAGAAAAGACGTAAGATTCCATGAGATATTTAAAATCAAAAGCATTTTCTTCGAAATTTTATTTTTCAAATTAAACAGTCATTATTCAATTGTTTTAAAAATTGCTTATAATTTCGATATGAGATTGTTCGGTATTTGCTTTCATAACAATTTTATTACTTTTGAATACAGCATAGGATTAGTTAACGTTAGTGGGTCACTTAGGATCCTACGTTCCATTCTCTGCTGACGGAAAGTGAACTTAATAATTACGATTATTTACTACGGGCCTTGTTCATATAAAATTTAGTATTAGAAGTACCTTTTTATTAATACATTAAAATTTTAAAAATAATATTATCTATTTACAGAAGGAGTCTTTCAAAATGAGGTATTTGCTTGTCATTGCCGCGTTTACGGCTTTGGCCTTTGCAAAGCCGGAATTTTATAAGGAAAAAGAGGATTTCCAATACTCCAGAAGCTCCTCAGATGAAGGCAGTAAGTCCGGTTTCTATGGGGCTCAAAGAGGCAATATGGGAGGCAATTATGAAAAGGCGCACAACATGGATGGTTTAGCACAGCACCAAATGAGTGGACTCGTTCGCACCGTCGAAGGCGAATTGGGAGACGGGTACAAAATGAGAACCGGCAGCGTGTACAGCGCTGCTAATTCTAGGGGAACCTATGGCTCAGGCCACTACGACTTAAGCAATCTACAAGGTAGAAACTTCGGGGAGACCGAATCATTTGATAATTCGCATTCTTCAATGATGGCACAGAGTTCTGCATTTAGAAATTCCAGATTAAACGGTGGTGCGTACAGCAGTAGCAACCGCGCCCATAGCTCGGGATACAGAGGATATCAAGCTGGAGATCAATCTCAACAATATATTCAAACGGATAACTTGCAATCTGCAGATCATTTGCAGAGCGCCCATGGCTACGATTATGGAAGTGAAGCTGCCCATCTTTCAACCTCAGGCTTTCAAACCCACCACGATTACGATCTAAGCGCTTCCAATTTAGATCGCACAGGTGCGTATGGAAGCAATACTCGAAGCCGTATCCTAACTGCCGCTCCTGTAAGAGTTATCGTCAGACCCGGAATCAGAAGGACCGTGCCGCTCACTGCTCAAGTCTACGATGCGGACCACTCAGATACCTCTTTTAATCTTGAGCAGAGTAACATTAACAGAGACGCGGAAGTATTGAATACCAATAGTCAGCAAGTAAGCTACAGGCCCTCGAATGCTCCTAAACATTATGAATCCTCATACAGTTATCACAAGGAATGGGAGAAACATAACACTCAGCCAATTAATGCCCCTGGTGCCGAACCTACAGAAAATCCTTTTCCTGCACAAAGTGAAATACGTGGGGACGTAAATGAAGAAAAAAATTTAGAAAACATTCAGCAACATTCAAATACTTACAATACGCAAGCGAGTAATACAGCATTTGCGGCCAATACTCAGTCATCAAGTCAGGCTAGATATCAAGCAGGCTATAACAGGAAACATAGCTCCAGTTCTTCATTGGCAGAAAACACTAATGGCTATATCACTGGTAGACGCAGCGCTTCTCTGACCGGTGGTTCTTTAGTAGCATCAAATGCTAACGAATACAATGCAGGCAGCAGTAGCTCATTGTTAGCCTCTAATGCAAATGGATACAAAGCAGGTAGCAGTTCTCTGTTAAACGTGAATACAAATGGATTTAATAAGGCGTCCCATGCAACCAATTCCGAAGAGAGTGTTGCTAGTGCTGCTGATTCAGGAAATCTTGTGCAGGTATTGAATTCAAAACCAAAAAGTTACCATTCTTCGTATTCATATCATAAGTCTTGGGAAAGACAAGGCGACCCTTACGTCATAAAACCAGCTGGAAGTAGTACGTTTGATGGCCAGGAATCTCAGAAATTAACAGCCGCTTCAGCCAGCCAAGGAGCATATTCATCGCATCATTATGGAGCCCAATATAAACAAGCCCATCATAGCTTTTCACAAAATGGATTCGATAGTGATTGTGACGAAGAAGGTCACGTACGCGTAGCTCGTTCTTCCGACTCACGGTATAAACCTGAACTTCAGGCTTACCAAAATATGTACCAAGGCCAAGAGGAATATGGACAACAAACACAGAGCCGTTTGGAAAATTTAGAAGACTTGGGGCAGCAAACACAAAATCAATGGGATAACCTGCAAAACTTTGGACAACAAGAACAGAGTAATTGGGAGAATTCACAAAACTTAGGACAACAAATCCAAAGCCAGTGGGACAATTTACAAGATTTAGGGCAACAACCTCAACACCAATGGGATAACTTGCAAAATTTGGGACAACAAACTGAGGAAAAGTTTGATAAGCTGGAAGATTTAGGTCAACAACCTCAAAGTCAATGGGATAATATTGTAAGTCAAGAAACAGAGCAAAAATTTGATACTTTACATACTATGGGTCAACAAAGTCAAAACCAATGGGATAATATGCCAGAAATAGGTCAAATGACTCAAGGAAAATTGGATAAGCTAGAAAATTTTGGGCAACAAACTCAAACACAATGGGACAAAATAGAAAGTTTTGATCAGAAATCACAAAATAAATTACATAAAGTAGAAGACCTGGGACAACAGCAACAAGCGACTTGGGGAAGCACGGAACAGCAGAATCGCAGTTGGCAAAAATTAGAAGACCTCAATCAACATACGCTAAGTAAGTATACAAAATAATAAATCAAAATCTTTACTCTAAAATATCGCTAGTCAACGACCAAAATAAACAAAATAAACTTTCTTCATAAAATAAAATAATTCGAATTCACATTACTCAAAAAATATCTAAATTGTAAAATGTAAAATTAAAAATTATCTCATACAACCACTTTATCCAGATTTATAAACTTTTAGAGTAGTTCTTTTTGAATGAAAATAATGATAAATTGAATATTTAAACTAGGCGATCTGGAACAACAAATACAGGATCATGATGAACAATCACCTAAAATGGTTTTCTATGGAAAAGAATTTGATCAACAAGAAAATGTACAATCGAACGATTTTAATCTGAATAATACTCAAGATTCTCAATTAATAGACAACAAACACTACAGTGAAAATAAATTGTCTCAGAAAGAAGATAAACAATTAGTTAGAGGTCCTTGGAATAACGCAATGTTTCATTTGGGTGGTTTTCAGCAAGAAAACTCTAATTTCGATTTAGATAACCAGAACTCAAAACATACACCTAACAAAAATTTTGACAGACCTGATGAAGCTCAAAATTCGGAAATGTATGAATTTGGGTCTCCCAAAATATTTGATAGCCAACAAACACAAAATACTTGGAATTTAAAGGAAGAAGATACAATACAACAGAAACCGTTTAATCAACAGTCACAAACAGGAAAGAGCTCACATACAACAACTGAAAAAAATTCACATCCATTAGGTGGTCAGTGGGACAAAACTGATAGTGAATCTGCAGAATTAGATAAAGACTTTCATTCACAAGATGAACAAAATTCTTCTCTGTTAGGCAGTCTTTGGGACAAAATTGATGGTATAGCCAAAGAGACACTTAAAGACACCTATGATGAAGATGATTCACAAAAGTCTAATAAAGTAGATTCAACAGACTGGTCACCACAAGAAAGTAAACCAAGTGCAACACACAACACACCAAAACCATCAGATTCCCCCTTAAATATAAATTTATTAAAACCTAATATCAAACCAAACCAAGATAAAAGCCCAAGGCCAATAGATGTAGGTCGTGGAGACATCGGTCCTGAAGATTCTGACTTTATCTCAGATACACCTAAATCAAATATACCATATAAAACACCAAAAGAAATAGATTCTTTAAGTTTAACTCGACCCTTAAACAAACAATCAGCAGACTCAAATGATGACAAAAACAAATTCAATATGCTAAGTGATAGAGAATTAAAAATAGTACAAGACTTGATTAAAAAAATTGAAACTGAAGACTCTGATGAGATTGTAACTACTACCAGCACAACAACTTCGCCAATTCCAACAATTTCAACCAACATAGATGAAAATATACTAGCTGATTTAAATGAAAAAGAAGAAAAATTTTTACAAGGAATTAGCAAACACATTATATCTAATGAGAATAAGAAACGCACTTCCACACCTTTTACGCCAACAAGATACATTTATAAAGAGCAATCAAGAAATAAAGAACAATTTGAACACAGTACTCATAAAAATCTAATTTCTCACCACCATGATGAAACAAATATCAACAAAGAGTTGGATCAAAAAAATGAAGACTATGAACCAGAAGAACAACAAAATATGGAGCAGCAATTCGAAGATTTTCAGCAAACACAGGATTTACAAAATGCAAACCAATTAGAAAACTTTTCACAGCAACATCAAAGTGATTGGAATTCTGAAAATAATCTCGCCCAAGTTTTAGACCAACAATTAATATATTTAGGGGAAGTGTCACGAAAGTTAAATGATAATCAGATAAATGATGAAATAAAAGAAATTGAAGCAACACAGAAAACTAAAATAAATGAGTTAACACCCCCAGAGCCAGAGCTAGAGACAGAAAAGCATGGGTTTTGGAAGTCAGTTGGTAGTAAACTAACAAATGCTAAAAAGAAAGTAATGTCATGGTTCTCTTAACAATGCAAATAACTTTTAACACTAATTGTCCGGGAAACCTAACATTTAAAATGTTAAGAATTAAGACCTACACAAATAAGAATTTACTTATAATTTTTTAACTATGTATATAAATAAAACCTTAGTGTAAAATTAAAATATGTCATATTGATTTTATAATTTATTAAAGTACACTTTTAAATAAGTAATAAAATATATGTATGTGAGTATGATTTTACCAACAATTAGCTTTAAAGTAATACACTTTATTTTTATAACAGTTAGGGCTGCAAATATATTTACTTATAACATGTTGCACATTGAGTGCAATTCATCCCTGTCTACTGATTCTTCGCTATCTCTTAACACATTAAAATTGTAATAACATTGATATATTAACATCTTTATTTCTGGAAACTTGTTCTAATATTAACTAAACCATAAACAAATAATATATTAAACTAAAATGGGTAAATTTTTTTTTTTTAGTAGAAAACTTTCTTCATGTAACTAAATAACATTAGACATAATTTTACTATTCCACTTAATTTTTTCTCACTATTTTCGCAATATAATAAAAAAGTGAACTATTGTAATAGCCACCATATACGATTGAACATGGATAAGCGAAAATCTAAAGGAATGCAATACTTTTCTCTTATAAAGGTTTTCTCTTATGCAAGATTTTCCCTTATACCAGTTGTCCATTTGGTTCAGACTATAACTCACCCTTAAAAGGTTTTTCGCTTATTCATGGTCAACTGTATAGAATTTATATATTTACTTAATTTTCACATGATCAAAAAAAGTTATCCAAAGCTGAGTAATACAATTTACATTTTGGTGCTGTGCAAACTAATAGTAACTACATACTGCAATACTGACCTCTGTAAGGGAGTTAAAGTATTTGATGAATGCCCGTTGCTGGACTGAATCTGAAAATTAAATGAAACTATGGGTTATATGCATTTGTAATTCATATTGAAGTCTCTATTTTGACAAAAACTATGAAATGTGTACATTATGTAATTTTAAGTGTCACACCAGTAGTGTTCTAGGGTAATTCAAAACAGTGTCCGATGTATTTTGATTGGTTTAAATGTAGGCTATTGATTGATCAATGACTAATAAAAGAATGTGAAATAATGTGTTTTAATTATTATGTGTTTATACAAACACAACATTATTTGTTGAACAGTGAAGTTGAAAGTAATCGTCATCAGCTCACTATACATCCCCATCGAGGGGCTTGGAGCCTACCCTAAGTTATGGGTGATTACGCCATAGTCAACCACGCTGGCCCAGTGCGGGTTGGTTGTTCTTCTCAGATATGTGCAGGTTGCATCACGATGTTTTCCTTCACCGCAAGAACGTCGGATAAATGTACATATGTAAATTGGAAATCGAAAAAGACATTGGTACATTGCGGTATTCGAACCCAGGACCTGCAGATTACAAGAAAAGTGCTTGACCCCTGAGCACCGACGATCAAAGTAATAAAACAATAAAAATATTCATTTAAAACAAACATTGAGAACGCTTACCTAAGTTCAAAGCTTGAATAGGTTGCAAAGTAGACATAGTGCTTAAGAAATATAAAAGTAAACGATATATTAAAGCATATCTATTTATCTGTTTATTTGAGTCGAATTGTTAATTTTTTTCTGATATCCCCAAAACTTCTCAACTTGGTGTAAACGTCAAAGTCAAATTGAAGCAAAAGTGGCGCGCTTTATATTACAGAGTAAATTCTATAATAGATTACAGTTTTTTTACGTATTTTGAACCTTGTCAAGTATTTAATATAGTTGTGTGGCATCTAAGTAAATTATCCTTTCCGCAGCTTAATTTTATATTAGAATCAAGACGTATTAGGTTCGATACTAGATTTTTTTAAATTAAAAGTACAATATTTTACAAAGGTTTATCTTATTTAACCTGGGCTCTCCACGTAGTAAAAACGTCAATCGTCAGTCGTTCTTCCAACAGTCATCTGATCTCTGATCTGACGTCTTTGACACAAATAATACAGGTCATGTCAATTGTCAATTGGATTGGAGTTGTGTTGTGGAGAAAAATCAAGTTTTGTTTATAATAAATAAATGTTTACTTTTATTTAAAAAAACTTAATATGTTGATTTTCAAATGTGCGCTTATTGTTCTATCGTCAACATATATTTTTTCGTGAGTATTAATGTTTTAATATATTTTTTTTTCTTGTTTATATTTACATTTTAGCTTCCAATTAATTAACTTACAAATCACCATAATTAACATTAACAAGACCAGTAAAATATAATTTTTACTTTTCCCTGATTCCCATACCATCATGAAATAATTAATTATAACTAAATTTAAAAATAATATGTTAATCTTATTGTTTGGTTTATTAAGACAGTTATTTTTTTCAGCCTTTGTTTACAAGTGGCAAAGGAAACGAACTCTCTAGATACTGGCCTTGCTTTTTTGTATGTGGCCAGCGGAGCAATAGGTGAGAGGAGATTGTAAATTGTTGCTTGAAATTTGTTACTTCAGAATATTTAAGATAACTCAAACAATTTTTTAAATAAATACACAGCTTTTTGGTGTAAAATATAATTAATTTGCCAACATACAAATGAAACTAATTATGGTTACTTACATTACTATTAGTTTGTTATAATTATGTTTTTTTTATTTCATCTTAAACTGATCGAAGTGTGTTTTTTTAATTTACTAACAATTTCTTTTTAAAGTGTGTCCTTTTGTGGTATATGTTCACAGTAATAATTATAAAATATATTGTTAATATTAATTTTCACACATGCCATGAAAGGATTCACTGAATAATATAAAATATCTTTATCATTCATCATCATATTTAAAATAATGCAATTTATATCATTATTAACAAATGTGCTAACAATTTTTTGCAGCTGGGAAAATCATTTATGACAGATACCAGCAAATTCATGTATTAGGTTCACTAACACCAAATCCCAATGTGACCTCCTTTGCCAATAGGATTGCAACATTTTCGGCCTCATTCCTGTCTTTGGGCTTCCTAGCGTATCTCTTACTATTTCTCTTTAAGGTAAGAATTGACTAATGTTCATAAAACATTGTCACAATAGAGATTAAAGTAATGATAATAATTCAACCATATTAAGAAAACAATATCTTACTTTTTAATAATTATAAATGTGAAAGTTTAGACGGATGGATGTATGATTGTGACAAGGTATCTTTAGATAAGCTGCATGGATGTCCGCTGAAATTTGACATAGATTATCTTTTTTAATAATTTTATTACCTGGTAACATAGACCTTTAGGTTAAATTTGACATAGATATATATATAGAATAAACAATGAAAAGACTCCTAATTTTATTTTAATTTCGAGAAAGGAGTCTCGGACGACAGCCAGTGTCATATAATTACAAAAGTTAATAAAATCAAATAATTTTTTGAATGTTATAGACATTATTAACTTAATTTATAACAGTATAAAAATTACGCATTGCTGTTTTAAGAGTGATTAATGTTATATACAGTGCTTTCATCATTAAAAATACCGCAACACAGATTATCAAGATCTAAATGCTTCGTAACTGATGTTTTGCAACACTAATGTAACTTTAATAATCGTTTTACATGTTATTTTAGTTTGTTGCTTTTAGTTTTTTTATTTCACCGGACTATCTTACTATAATGTCCAGAAGGGCGCAACGGATCTCTATTAAATTTGGCATAGATGTAGAACATAGTGTGGAGAAACACATAAGCCACTAATTATCTTTTTTTTTAATTCCGCCAGGACGGAGTCGCGAGTGGCAGCTGTTTGGAATAGTATAAAGGCTACTTAATGAGTTTTTTTTAATTCTGTGCTCACAAAGGTGTAGGCAAAAGCTAGTTATTAATATTTTAAACGGTTTTATTCATAAAAATATTAACCCATGTTTGTGGTATATCATTGGTTACATATAAAAGTGTGTTTGTATATATTTATAAATCTAATTATGCTATATGTATTTGAATTGATTTTAATATTGTCTTCAAATGAATTATTTTACTTTAACTCTGTTTTACAGGTGGATAGCCATTGCTTAATAGCCCTAAATATATTTATATGTGCGTTCGGCACTTTGTACTTATGGGTACAGGTTAGTATAAAATACATTCTTAATAAATTAATGTATAATTAATTTCAAATATCTTAGCGGCTCAAGGTCATAAGCGCGCTGCGCAGAGCGCTCCCCGCGCATCCTGTTATGCCCTGATACCCCTAAAATTTTACTCTAAGACATCTGAAGTTCTGATGTTTTGGTAACTTAAGTTTTAACAGACAAAATAAAATATTACATTCATTATTTATACTAATCATGTTTAAATAAGTTAGGTTTTTTTTTATTTAAATTAAAATATACATTTTTAATGTTTTTAAAATAATAATAATTGATAATTGTTGTCACTATTATTATTAATACTTGTACCAATTATTACATTACAATACCACAAAGGTTTGAAATATAAGCCCTAAGAGGTCATGTAGAATGGAGTATACTCACATTTCAAACAAGCCTATTGTCAGCATTTTCAATGAGTTTATTCACAGGCTATTTATAAATATTAACCAATTTACCCTTCGACATTCGTGTGTGGTTATATATTTTAATAATACAGTAATAGAGTAAACAGAATTAAGAAATTTAAAACGAATTGTTTAGTCCTACTGGAAATTACCATGCCCTCAAAAAAGCAGGTCTATTATTTTAAGGTCTAAATTATATATTTCTGCCTTTCGTCAAAAAGTCTTAATGCCCTAATCCAGTCACTTATCAATGTTTCCTATTTATTTGTATAGCTGGTATAGTCTTGATATTATTTGTTATATAAATAGCCGTAGTTAGACTTATCCATGTATTTGAGATCCTATTCAATGTTTATTGGATACTGAAGTTTATTCTATGGAACAAATTTAAATAGGTGATAGGTAATACGTATATACAGGAAGACTGTTTACCCGATTATTACCACGCTCTGTAGTGCTTGGCGGTTATAGGTCTTCTTTAGGCGTAAAAGAATATTGCTGCTTATTTAATGAAATCCCCTTAAGAATCCCCCACTTTCTTAAAAGAAGCTTTTGGGGAAACTTTACGGCAGTGGTTCTCAAACTTATTTTTTCTACTGCCAACTTTGAGAATAAATATTTTTTTAGCGTCCCATATTATCATATATTTAAAAACCACTATAACTTCAAATTAAATTAATTAATTATTGTGACCTATATATGTATATTAACGGAGAATTCTAAACGAAACCTTTACTATAACCCGCAACTTGAGACCTGCAGAGCCCACAAGGGGGCGTTATCGCCTACTTTGGGAAAGACTGCTTTACGGGATAAGTCTAATCTTTGTCTCGTTTGTCATATTTGCATGCTAGGATTTTTTTTTAAATCAGTCATGATAGATTCAGCCAGTTACAATATTTTTTTGTATTGTTTCAGTGTGTTTTAACAACGTATATTTCAACGTTATTTTATGACAAAAACTTGTTAATACTACGACAATGTCTTGCCAATTTGAGCTTCCTTTTATTAGTATTAATGGCTATTTTTGGAACTATAACTTCGTTCTTGACAGAAGGTAAATTATCAATTTATATTTTATAATACATATGTAAATATTGGAAGGATTTTAATATAATATTATTTCCAGATGGTTCCAGTGGCTTTCGAATTTGTCTTATCATCACGTACCTATGCAGTTATTCACTAACAGCTATTTTCTGCATATTTTTAATCTCCTTTCAGAAAGAATATGAGTACTTTGCTGTAGTAAGTTAATTAACAATTTTATTTAAAGATATCTTGGTTTGTGATCTTTATTATGTTTTTATTTATTTCAGGGCTTACGATCCGAATTATTATTAGATGACGCATGTTCATTGAATAATGCGTCAATCTCCGAAGTGGATGGTTTTAGGACACAAGATATGCTCTCTAATGCTATCGTAATAAAGGGGAGCATAAGTTGTGGGAAGATCTCTTGACCAGAGGCCGTGCCCGTAGAGGGCACGGTAACACATTCAAGTGGGGCCTCGAATCCCTTGCGCTACGGCAGCTTTGGGAATACCCACATCAATATAGAACAATTAGACAATGATAGTAACAAATGTTTACATGACGAAGTCCTTTTGGATAACGACGACAGTGGTATGTCATCAGAAGAAAATGATGACACTTTTAACGCGAGTGTTTATAATAATAATTTGAATATCACTAATAATATTGAAGGAGTAACAAAGTGCCTAACTAATGAATCTCATAGTGCTGTGCATTGGAATGAAATTCCTTGTTGTTCAAAAGATGTGATTAATAGTAATGTTAGGGATGAAGTGTACAGGTTGAAGTCAGCCGATATACTTAATGATAATGAGATAATTAATTCTGAATTTATAGTTATAGATTTGACATGTGATGTCGATGATGTGAGTGAATCTAAGTTTGGTCAGGATGTGATTGGTACAAATGTTTATAACATCGATTGTGATAATGCAAGCATTCTTAGCGTAGAATCGAGTCGGAGTTTAGTTCCTGTCGTCAAAAATGAAATAGTCGTATCTGAGAATCAGAAGTTGGTGAGTCTGTCACTCTCTATACTTCTAGCGGCGATACTACAAGCGATGAGATGCTTCGCCCAGTTTCTGGAAGACATAGTTGTACCACAGCGGCAATAATACATGTATTCTATATTTTTCGGTACAATATTCCCTAGTTATAATGTATTACAAAATGTTAACAATATATTTAGTTACTGTCTTGTAATTGTCGTTTTATTTAATTATCTAACATTAGGGAAATACAGTTAATTTATACTAAAGCGTCAATAGCCTAATGGTTAAGGGTACGGATTTCCAAAGACGAGGTTGGGGGTTCGAATCCTGCCATTTCGACTATTGTCGTAAATCATATCCTAGGACAAGCCTAGAGCTTAGTTGGAATGGTAAAAGAAATAGTAAATTTACTAAAAATCTGCTAATATTTCAATTAAAAAAAAAACTAAAGACGAGTAAAGTACGGATTTGAATCTTCGTTAGGTCATTATACGTCTCCACCCAGGGGCTTCAAGTCTACCCAATTTGGAGTGTCTAGACCATAGTCAACCATGCCATCCCAGTGCTGGTTGGTTGACTTCACACATGTCTGAATTTCTTCGCCGATATTTGCAGGTTGCACGATGATTTCTCTCACCATAAGAATGTCGGTTAAATGCTTATAGAAAATTTGTTTTTTGAAATACACATCGCTACATGGCGTGGCTTGAACATGGATGTTTTAGATTACGGTTCAATCCGCGCAATATCGGTCTATTTTGATGAATTGGGATAAAAGGAAATACGTATTCGTAGTAATAATTTAATAACTTATATAGAGCATTACACAATTGTCGCTACTATCCACACACATCAAATAAATTATGAGGTTAAATAGGTCGTAGGTACATTAACCAATTTATACTACTTATTGTCTCGTCGTCATTTCACTACAAGTTTATAAGGACGCCTCGTTTATCACTGTTATCAGTCTGTTGTTTGAGTTATGGCACTTTTTCTTCCATTTGATAGAGTTCCTATGTTCAGGTGTGGTTTGGTTGTCGGGCGCGGCGGGCGGTGAGGAGTTACCGACCACGATAGACCAGCGACGGCCGCGACGCTCGTTCAAATTTGGTAACTCAGCTATCAAATTGTTCTCGTATTCGCTCAGCACTAGATAATTCTCCACCTGTATGTAAAATTTAAACTGTCAGTAAATATGGGCTTCCTCTGGCGAAATGCAGTCAAACTTGGGTAGAAGAGAAACCTTTAGCGAAAGCGAGTCATTGTTCGGTCACGACGAACAATCAACGTAAGCGAGAAACTCTGGTTAGATAGAAATCTCTACAAGCCAGAAAAATATTTTGTAAATAACAGAGTTTACATTATGATAAATGTTATTATTTTTCTCAACAATGGCAAAAATACCTAACTCTATTTGTTTTATTTGTATTTATTGCAGTTATGTGAACAAAATTCGTTCACGCGTTCATTTGAAACGTTAAAATGTAACTTTAATTCTACTGCTGCGATACTTATATAATACATATTGTTGTCTCTGTTTTATCAAAAGGAATGAAAGGGATGACAACATGTAATAATATAATTTTCACCGTAGTGGAATTCTATGGTAAATGTCGCTCGTACCGTGAAAATTGTACGTCACGACTTGCTCACTAATGCGATTAGGGCTTGTGTAACGCTGTAGCGCTGTTACTCTTAAACTGTTTACCGGTGCTCTACATTTTTTACGTTCATTAGGTGTGTTCCTATTTAAGAATGTACAGTGAAAGTAACTTGAGAAAAAGTGACCTTAATTATAATCTGTATTAGAATCTAGAATACTTAGAAAGGCTAATACTTAGTTACTGTTTCTAGTGTTGCGTCTAGTCTAATGCGTGCGACCTCATCACGTAAAGTCTAATAGAATCATGATCACGCGTTAGTTCATTCATTATGCATATTCGTGCATCCTGTACACAGTAATTACTGTAGTTTAATATTGTTTAATATGGAAAATTAGAAGTTATCCAGTAAATGTACACTTTTATTATTTACAAATTTTAGACATTATTAATTAGAATATTTTGGCGTGAATGGCGCGCTTTCTTTACCAAGTCATATGTCAGAATGATTAGTGAGGGGATATAAACGTCGACATTTTAGCAAGGCTAGTGTTGCGTCAGTACACCGGCATAGTGTTGGATTTTCTTCCTAACACAATAATGACATATCGAAATAATCCTCTAATAATCTAGTCTATTGTTAAGCATTAATGAGTTATTAAAATGGATCTCAAGTTATAAGGTACATCACAATTTTACAAGGCTAATAGTCTATTGTTAGTATGCTTCATCATTATTAAATCTCGACTAAATGTTTAGAGATGTGAATTATGTTTTGCAGAAGATAGCTTAACGAGCAATTAATTTCATTATTGTTTTCTGTCCAATTAAGTAATGATTTTAATTTATGACCGTAAAAAATCAAGTATTACCTTATTACAACTAGTGATACAATCACCACCACAATCCAAGTCTTCTAGAAGATGTTCTGGTATATCTAGATCCAGGTCCAAGTCGAGACCTCCTTCTTCGCTGATACAGGTCAGCTCCGGCGGCAGCTTGGCAGGCGGGGACCCGAGGCTGCCAGGTCCAATGCTGTCCAGCAGGAGGTCACGACCCGCCCTTCCCGGCGCTACTAATTCTGCTCCTAGAACTTAGATATTAGTTTATAAAGTAAAATTACTACATTAGTGACACAAGACAAAGGATTTAGTGGTATTTCATTTTGAAACTTAAAAAATCAGTAACAATTAGTCTTGATGTAAGTAACTAGATGGCGTTAGTGTTTAACTGATTCAATCAATCCTTAAGTTTGTAAACTTTGCAGCACTCAGAATCATTAAATAGTAACTAACTAGATTTGGTATGTGAAATGAAATCTAAGGAACTATTTAAGTACCATTAATTTAATGAGAACGGCTGTCTAACGGAGACACTGAGAAATTGCTCAGGTTTTTCCAAATTCGTGTCCCTTTTCATGTCTTGGTAAAAAACCAATTCTTCCTAGATATACAGACTATAAGAGACTGTTGTTGGATGATTATAGAATAGGAAGAGGGTTCACCTAAGGCGGTGGCGGCGCCTGCGGCCGTCCGCGGCTCCCGGTCCCTGCTGCGACTGCGACGGGACTGGCCGCAAGCTGACTCACAAGTACCGCCATTTTCTCTGAAATACCATAACATTACGGATATTATGTTAAAAATGATCACATGGTTGAAACAAATAGATAATTAGCGTGATAAGCGCCGGTATATCCTCCTAAAGTAATTGTCTGCGACGTCGTGTGTGCAGAATTAAAAAAAATCTAGTAATAAATATATAGCCTTTGTCACCCGGGGATAGTCAAGCTTCCTTTGTATGCATGAGTTCATTTATTTAGTGTTTTAAATAAGGGACATAGTTGTGAATACTTGGTGTGTTTGTGCGCGACGCTGCGGCGGTGCAGGTCAATGCAGAAAAGAGACAGCGACCCTAATAGTGAGCAAGTCGAGCTGAAGTAATAGCCAGCCTTACTGCCGCAACCCACGTTTATGTACCCTGAAAACATATAAAGTAGAAAACGTTTGTGACTTACATTTACTAATCGCTTATTATGAAGTAATCAGACAGCGAATGGTTCTCATACAAAAATCTTACTAACAAAGTCGGATATAATGACTCGCTTATAGTGACATCTTATTGAAACCCATTTTTACTAAAACTTTTTAAATTGCAGTCGGTTATAGTAGTTGTTATAGCGACAAAATTTGTTGTAAACGAATTACACTGTGATTTAAATGACTTATTACTGCACTACATTCAGCGACGTTTATTGGTTGACGACTCTAGTGTAGCAGAGACGAATTATGGTGGTTTAAAAATCGAATACTTACGTAAAATTCGTTATTACATTTGATTAACACAACTAGTACCTGACAGGGGTACTCCTATTGCTATAGGTACAGCTTGCGAGCACTGCACGAAGCCCCACGTCCTGGCGAAGTTACGTGAACGTACCCTTTCATAGGTGTACATCTTCAGAGAGTAGTGGTAGCCTCCGCAGAATATACCTGAAATGGATAAATGACGTTGTTTTACTATGGTGTCCATATTGAAGATAAATTCTTAAAACGGATTGTCTCTTGCATTTAGCCATGAGGTACAAAAACAATACATTAATTTGTTAAGGACATTAGGTATATAATTTGAAATTAAAAGTTTGATGAAATAAAAATTCTTAAAAAACATTTCTGATTTTTCAGAATACAACTGTTGCGTAGTCAGTGATGCTAACTTAACAATAAGAACGTCGATGTCTCTATTTGTAATAAATAAATAAAACGAAGCTTTAATGAAAAATTAATTGCACATAAACATTACCATAGACCCAAGCAAACATCACGTATCCACTATATGAGCCCTCGACCGCGGTCAGTGCCATAGTGGCCAGTCCACACACGAAAACCGCAGCCTGCGTGAGGTATTGCCGTGCTATGCGGCATTCAGCTGACTTCTGACGTACCAGCAGGCCGAATGCTGCACACCCCACCGCCCATGCTAACCCGAGGTACGCTTGTAACAAGCCTGCGGTGTCACCCAATCCTGGAAACAAAACTTCTCACAAGAATCTCCACACATTCAATTATAGTTTCTGATGTATGGTTATATTATTATTTGGTTTTAAAATACTAATTGCTTGATTCATATTCTTGCTTCACATAGATCCAAAATCTGTGGTGATGTCAGTAGTCTAGGAGTCGAGTTGATAACCACAGGATTTTGCAACATTGGATTACTTCTACAACGATTATCACTTAATCACTTAAGTATCTTAGACTTTACAATATTCTGATACCAATTTTGCACTTACCTTCTTCTTCAGCATGATAAGCTAAGTAAAATATCGGAGTGTTGATCCCGAACGCCGATATACCAGTAGACATCAGTAGGATCCTTACAGTCTTTGATCTCAGCGTGGAAAAATCGAAGAAGGGTTGTCGATCATCCGACTTGTTCTTGTCTTTCATTTTCCTTTTGATTTTGTTCTGATTCTTAAGATGCAATATGGCACGTCGTTGAGGATGGTATAGAGATGCAGACCGGTAAAAGGTCCCGAGGATGAAAGTAACGAAGACAACTCCTGTTACTGCCTGAAGTCCTAGTCTCCATCCTATTGCTCTATACACAGAATAAACGTCTTAATTAATAAAAGTGATTGAAATGGTTTAGCTCTGGATATTGCTGAGACGATAGTACGTTGTATCGAAATGCTATTTGACAATGTGTTCTAAAACACAATTTTTGCTTTTAAAATATTCTATGCATATTACTTTTCTGACATAAATTACTGGAAAATGAGATCGTGTTGAAAGAAAGTACTTTCGTTCTTTTACTATTATATAAAATTTTGTACCGAAGATATTTTTAAAAATATAAAATGAATAAAATATAGCTTACTTCATTACTCGTTTTAAATTAGAAAACTAAAAACCTAATAATGTTAAAATGTTTTAGCTTTTATGTCTTTTGATCTTAGTTCACCTTATAGCGCCTTTGATGAATGTGGACATGACGGCGATGCCGAGGCCACTTCCGCTGACTATGAAGATCTCGACGAGCTCGCGGCGCCGTTTGAAGTACTGTGCCACCATCAGCGTTGAGCAGTCTCGAGTCAAACCCACGCCTACACCTACCACAGTCCCTGGAACGTTACATAGCAGGAAAAGTTATTTTAGTCAAAGATAATAAAGGCTCTGGCCACCATGCCAAGGGAGAAGGAGAGGCCGCATAGTGCTGCCAATAAAAAAAAAGTTACATAGTGCTTTACGGACTATATTTCCTTTGTTTTCCGACATTCTATATGCTTCTCATCATCATCATCTCTCTGCTTGTTTCTAAAGAACATCGGCATATTACACTACTTATATTCTATTTTTTTACTATGGAAACCATTATTTATATACTTTTCAAGGAAGCTTTTCTTATTTGTTTGTGTCAAATCTGTTGATGGATGGAATTACCTCCTTAGTAACCTGTATCTTTCTATCAGATCTTTGCAGAAGTACCTAAAGAAAACTGTGACTTCGATTTTACGATCTCTTGCGAAGAAAAAAATACGGTCTCAGCATACAAGTAACACAAATGCATTCTTTACTATCATAGAGTAATACCGGAATCTGAAAGTACCCATTAATAGATAAATGACTAGATACAATCTCAATGGTAGGCATACAAAGCGACGTGATGATGCAGTGGAAGCTGTAAAGATTGCATCGCGTCAGTACGTGGGAGAGGGGAAGCGGGAACTTCCAGGATATCGCCGCTTATCAACACTCATCGCGGGAACTTGTGACGTGATATCATTTATAACACTCTCAAAGCCGATGTGATGAGTATCGGATGAATTTACGAGATATGTATGATACACACATAAAATGATAGTCCATAGATAAAAGTATAAATCATAGAGTTACAAAACAGGTACATATGGTTGCAACTCTAAAAGACTCGAGATTTTAGAGTTTGTGAGTTTTAGAGTTTGAGTAGAGAGTAGAACTTATAATTTTAATTAGAAGCTTTTCGTATATAAGTCTCCCTTACCTCAGAATTTGTAAAATAATTTTCACAATGTACACATTAGTAACGAGTCGCTTATCGTTAATGTAAGGTGTTGTATGCTTTAGGGAAATATAAATTTCGGGGTAATTTATATTTCTTCATGCGCGTAAGGTGTAACGACGAATATGTTCATATTTTCTTTCTATTCGTATAGTGAATACACGTGATATGACAGTTTAGACTACTTATTATAATATTTTGGACCTTACGAACCTCACGTGATATTTTTAAAGCAATCTATAAACATTTGCTTTTAACCAACCGACATACAAAATATAATATATCTTCAGTTTATTATTTGAACAAAACAACTTAAAAATATCCGAGTTCCGCAACATCTAGTATCCGGGGTCGTTTATGAGGAGCAATGAAGGTAATGTGTTTTCTTTCTCGGATGCTCTCAGGCTTTGGATGAAGCTGCAGCTATCTGAAGGAACATTTCCGTTATAGAATGTATCGATTTGTTTGCTATCTCCTTCTCATAGTTATTGTGTTGAAAAATTCAACTTCGTTATTTGAAAAAGTAGTACTAGTGGTTACGTAGGCCATTTTTCATAAAATATTAAATACTAGCTGTCGCCCGCGACTCTGTCCGCGTGCTTTTTAAGGTATAAATACGAAAAAAATAAAATAAAAAAGTGAATAAATAGTATTCTATGTCCGTCTCCTGGCTCTAAGCTACCTCCTCACCAATTTTCAACCATATCGGTAAAGCCGTTCTTGAGTTATAAATAGTGCAACTAACACGACTTTCTTTTATATATATAGATTTCATATTACGTCGTGAAGTTTTTTAATGTTTACTTTATTTGTTTTGTAGATATGGATGCTCTAGTTTAGTTAGTAGTACGTTTATTAGGATTTTAGAAGAGTTTTTAATTTAACACTTATAATCGCCATTTTGTAAATTACATATTTTAGCTACTTCATAATTGACTTAAAAACTATTTGTCTTCGTAATGTAAGTTTATAAAAAGTATTTTTTTGCAAGTTATTCTTTTTCAAGCGATTTAAAAAAAAGATACAACTGGTTACAAAGTTTACAACGTGCCAGTTACTTTTATTAGTAGGTGTCAAACTGTTTGTTTTTTATGTAGCAGGAATTAAAAATATCGGTCGTAGTAGAAACGGACTGAGGCGGTTATACCGGGACTTGGTTCAATTTAAATGCTAATACAATTCCTGCTGACTGCAACATTATCCTCAAGGATAGTGTCAGCTTAGCGCGTACGTTATTGCAATTGTATACAGTTTGTGTCGCCTTACCATTGCTGGTTATTATTCGGTCTATTTCGTTTTAAAGCGTACATGAACGGAATTGGAACAGGAACAATGCGATTTAATATTTATTACTATTGTTTTTGATATTTATTTTTGAGACTTAGTTAAAAGTCAATTTGGAAACGACGACGCAGTAAAGTTTGTTTGGAAATTGTCGTTTAATAAGGCTTTAAGATTACTTAGTTATGTTTAATTTTATAAGTAGGGTTTAAGAAGTTATGTCTTCAGTGTAATCTAAGGGAAAGCTTAAGACTTAAAGTTGTCGCAAATTATGACTGTCTTGTCACTTATAAAGTTGTTGTAAGATATAAAAGTTAACGTTTTTTGATTCAAATAAATTAATATTGGTCTCAATGTGATTATATTACTTGTATAAATTTATAAATAAACTAGTTGTCGCCCGCAACTCCATCCGCAAGCAATTAAAAAAAACCTTAATTAGTAGCCTGTGTTCCTCCAGACTATATTCTATATCTGGGCCATATTTTATCAAGATCCGTTGAGACTTACCGGAGATACCTTCAAACAAACATCCGTCCATCCATCCATAAAAATATTTGCATTTATAATATTAGTAGGACAGGGATCTTAATTAACTACAGATGAATTTATCCAAGATCTGTAATATTGGTAACAAGATTTTTTAGGGGTGTACATTAAAATATTTTTGAAAAATGTTAATGTAATTGCATTTTATAAATGTAAATACACAATTTGTAAATATCTTCATTAATTGTGATAAATGGTGATTCGTTGACAGTGTCCTTTGATAATTTCATTATTTATTCGCGATGCGCGAAATGTGCAGCGCACTTCTTATGTGCGCCGGTTTTCTCTGTTTGTTTATTTTCGATGATCGCAGTTTTATTGGATATCCGCTTGCATACTCTGAGAGCCAATTAGCGGATACCTTTGAAGTTCGATTAAACGAATCTGATGAAATAAATTAAAATGTCAAGTGTTTGCGCGACTCAATTTTGATTACATATATTATACTTTGTGAATACGCAAGTTTAATGCGAAATTAATCTTCATTTTAAATAATTTTTACTGATATTATATTAAAAAAGCTTACATCTACATTCATTGTAGACAAGTTTCTAACGTTGTTCCGTAGTTTAAATTTTATAAACTAAATCTACACTAAGTGACGTTCTTAATGATCATTTAGCGACTTCGACTAGAATATTAAATGGAACCAAATTTACCAGTACCCTTTTGCGTCGAACGTAAGAATAAAGCCTAATACTGACCATAGCTGAAGAAGAGCTGATGGAACTGAGTCGCGAAGGACGTGAATAGGCATCCGAGGGCTGCGACCAGGCCGCCCACGACGGCCGTCACACGCGTCGATTTGCGCACACACAACGCGACCGACACCGGTGACAACGCAAGCGCCACGCCCACTGATAGCGCCCCCAGGCAACCTGAAACGAAAAAATCTATTATCAACTTACATATATATTAAGCCATCTATTCATAGTATGTGGGACTAGCATATCCCACCCGGAACACGTATGTTTTCAAAGTTCTATGAGCCACACAATACACATTTACTATTTATCTACTGCTGAGAAGTAAGATTAGGTACGTCAACTCCTGTGCGAACGGTTCCCAAAAAGATTTAGTTCAGTGCCAATCCAACGATCGTCCTTCTCTGCTCTCAGTGACACGTTTGCTAATTGCATGTCATTATTAACTTAAAAAATGTATCCGTTTCTTTCTAAAATATTTAGTCCAAATTAATCACGATTTAAATGTACGATTGTATGCGACATTTCCGAAACACATCAGTGTTGTGCGTTTCGGAATGTGTGTAGGATGACTTTATAGCGGATTGCACTCAGTAGCTCGCGTAAATATGACTTAATTGACATCTTTATACACTCATAGAATTAACAAAAGCAACAATAATTTTATTACCCTGTGATACAACAAATGCTAAAGATAAAGGCGTAGGACGAAATATATTGGACTTTAAATTGTTTTATCTAAATTATACCATAAGTTTACAAATGCAATGCACAAATTATTATTTCTAAACAGTACTCTTAGTAATATTTCCATAACAATATATATATATAATCTGTTATAATTCACTCTAATATATATATATATATAGAGGCAATATTTTAGTTGAATTTAGTTCGGATTAAAAATACTAAATTATTTTCCGTTTTATTTAATTTCTGTAAAAGATTTAAAGGAATATAAATGTCGTATGGTGACAAGTAAAAAGTAGTAATAGTCGTTTTGAAATTCAGTTTCATTCTTGAATTTATTTTACGCATTCTAGAACATTAAACTTACATACCATTTATAATTTATTTTACACTATCAAGTTAACAAAATTACCTTAATTTTATAGTACATTTTAAAATGTTTGTAATCTTATCTTCAGGGGTGACTAGGACATAGTCAACCATGCTAGTTCCCTATGGGTTGGTTGACTTCACGCATATCTTTCAATTTCTTCGCAGATATGTGCATCACAACGTCTCGAATTTTAATTTTCGAAACATCGTGGTCCATATATCTGCGAAAAATTTCCAACCCGGGACATGCAGATAAGTCAAATGCTATATATAATAACACCTGTGCCACCGACGCTTTACAATTTGTAATCTAGGCAGTCCAAATACATTAAGACGGAAATTGATGACAAGCTCTCTGAAGACGGTTTTGTTAATTTAATATGATTAGATTTCAAATACAGCATGACCCCATTTCTAGGGTATCATTAAAATCAATGACGTGGCAGTTCTATTAACACCCGCAGATAAATGAGAATCATTTTTTACGAGACTTATTCAGATTTGTGGTTATTCAAAGCTATGAGCAGAACGTTTAGGCTATAGATTTCGTGGACTATGAAAGCGATGATGAATGTTTACGAGTTACGCTTTGGCGGTATGAATTTGAATGACTCGTGTTATATTTTTTTCGTTTGTATTATATAATTTAATTTGCACACAAACCGTGGGTTTCTAGTACCAAAATCTTTGTATAAAACGTATCGTCATCCCTGTCATTATCTTTGATAAAACTGATATAACAATATGTTTTAAGCGGAGATTTTGGTACTAGAACCCTACGGTAAATGAGTTTACTCGCTTTTTTGACCAGTGGACTGGACTGTATTCAGATGGTCTTAGTAAATTGTTAAGATGACGTGACTCTTACACTATTTGATTAAAGTGCGTTAAACTTTTCTAGCTCTGTGAGACAAGTGCTATTATCATGTTTATTACTTTACAAAATTACATACAGAAAAGACATAATAGTAAAGATGTAGATAGTATTTTAAAGACAGCTATAGTCTAGCAAGGATCTTGTGGCATTTTTTTTAACATTTACAGTGCTCATGAGCTATTGTCATGTAGTTTCGCTTACGCCCACCGGATCTAGGATAAGATTGTCGGAGTACACTCGAATCTATACAGACTGGAATCGTTTTTATTTTGTTTAAAAGCGAGGTAAAGTTCTAGATGTGGCAACCTTAATGCACTTACTAGACAGAAAGAATCTCTCCATTTTATTGTTATTTCAAGCTATAAAGATTTCTCTCGTCTCACCTTGTACGGCGCCTGTCGTGTGCCAACAGGAATAGCGATATAACTATTATATTAGTATACTATCAGTGATAGAGCCCGCTTTAACATCTTCGCATGAATTGTCCCGGTTCGCCCGGTGAAATACCACGACCACACAGAAGACAGGCGTCAAGTGAAAGCGATTCCGCGTTTCGTCTGATGAGTGTGCGTCCCGGAGGCCTAATTTAGTCCTTTTTTCCTTCCCACCTTTTTCTTATAAGGAAAGGATGGGAAGTGGAAGTGGACTTTACGGGTGAGAGGATGCATGGAAGGGGAATGTGTTTTCTTTCTGTGCATCCTCTCCTCCGTCGATGAAAGGTAGGCAACGCATATGCAATTGCGTATGTCTATGGGCAACGGTCACTTCGCTATATCAGCGATTTCAGGTGGCCGCTCGCTCGTTTGCCACCTTTTGATATAAAAAAATACTATGATAACATATTATTGTATTTAATATTGATAATTTTTAACACAATGCTTACACAAATGAAAACAAGCGTTACATTATTTTCCCATCAGAGAAATTCATTTGCTCTGTTACAAAGAGTTAATGGAAACGCATTTACTGAATGTGTTTGTGATGTTGATAAAAAAATGGCGATGAATTTTTTACATTATAATGATTTAAACACTTACCCTGCGCTGAGGTATGACGTATGACGTAAAGAAATGGAATTTTATTAATCAAATCACATGTAATAAAAAAAATACCCAACAAAAATAGGTAATAATTGTGGCAACAAATGCCATTTTCTATTTCGAAACAGATATAGTAGATTTTATGACAGCACTTATTATTAACAGCGCCTCTCTCGTCGATCCGGAAAAGTACATCGCACTATACTTACATTAAATTATGTAAGCTATATTTAAATAATGTGTGCCATGAATGACGTTTGTTAATATTAATTTAATATTATTTTAACGTTTATAAACTTAATCTGTCGAGTTTTTAAATCGTAATCTTGTATAACATAATGATATTAAGTTCCCAACGTAAACAAAATCTGTTCAACGATTTTCAATGATATTTTAAATTTATTTTAGAGAAATAAAATCTTTAAAATTTTATTTCGAATATATCAAAGTAAACTAAGTGGAATACATTAAAAATGTTTTGATAGCAATATCAAAATCTTTAACATTCACGTGACATGTATCCAAACGATGTTCCATTTTTAAAATATGTTTCCGTATTTAGAACTAGCGGTAGAATTAGTGAATACGTTATAGGTTAGAATTAAATCGGTAATTTAATTATTTACATTTTTTTAATATTAATTAGAAAGGAGCGGAGACAATATCAGAAAGAGTTATGAAACGTCATCAATATGACGGTGTTAGTAATTTTTTTTTCAGCTAAAAGTAACCATTGAATTAAGGGTACATGAAAATCAAGTCAGTGTTTCGTGCGTCGGTTTGCGTGACTGAAGTCTGCAACCTTTTAATTGCATTTTAAAAATATTTAAGTGATATTTTTGTGATGTGGAATAAAAATATGTGGTTGCATTGCTCGGGCTCGGTGCAGCAAGATTTAAGAACTATTTAGACCTAGTGATGACGTCATTTGGTGAGTTATAATTACTGTTTTTATTGTGCATGACGCAATTACGTATGTTTTAACTTATGTGACACATACCCCGTAAGTCAAGCGATTTGTGAAATAAGCTTAGGTTGTCATATGTTGTATTATTGAATTGTAATATACACTATAATAACCTCCTTCTTTTTGAAGTCGACTTAATTAGCTTCTTCGCAAATTGCTATAATTATAACTCATTGACATATTTCGTGTTGAAAAATATATATCGTTTCATTCAATCTAATCTTACTATTTCACGGCAATTGTTTTATAGGTTATATAGTAATAAAACGAACAACTGAGGTAAATTAAATAAAAATAATATAAATCGTAAACATGGTTAGCAAAGACAGATTGTCTCGAGAGTTTAGAAGCAATCAAAGTGTATCGGGCATGCGGCCAGTAACACTTTAGTGAAAAAAACGCCATCGTTTAGTCCAAAATATATCAGTTGGAACAAACAACTATTGCAAAAGTTTTTGAGTCGACGACTAGGGGTCATTGGCCTTGCAAGCCGTCACCAACATCGGTCACCCATCACGTCACCCATCTAGGGGATAAGCCTGCACAGACGATGTTAAATCTAGCTTCACAGATTGATGAGTGACGCCCCGTTGCCAGTCACCCTTGCCCGATCTTGTGCATTTATCTCCCAGGCACATCACACGATACTTAATTTACTGGGGATACAAACGAAAATCGGCTTTGTCTAACATATTTGAGTGTTAAGTAGATAAAAATGTAAACATTTCGTTCTAATACAACTTAAAAAATTAAATAAATTTAAACAATATGTTTTAGAGACGAGACAAAGACTAAGCAACATTAAGTTTAGAGTAACTCGCCTCCAAGTACATTGTACACAGAGGTTACACGCCTCTGAATTGGTTCGAAATAAAGAAATACTGCTGCATCATGTGTTTAACTAAGTGGCCAGTATTTTTGTCTATATCGACTCATATCGAACGCAATCGGTTAAAATGTGACACTGATGGACCATTCTGTGGAATCGAATCGAAAAGTTATTCCCAACAGATACGACTTTTTTTTTAAATAGACTGAACAATGTCGAGTTATACAAAAGTTATAATTTTAAATCACAAAAATGAAATTACAGAAATATAGAGATTATTTCGTTACGATCTAATTTATGTATATCACAATATAAAGTTACTAGCCATCTTACTTCTTACTAATATTATAAATGCAAATGTTTAGATGGATGTTTGTTTGAAGGCTGAACGGTTCTCGA